TTTATTGTTGTTCTTCTTTTTTTGTTCTTTGTCGGACCTTAAAGTCAGGGCCAGCGACCCATCAACTCAGCTCGGCAACCCACTCAGTCACTCAACTCACTGGGGCTGTCTCCAGACTCCTCCCGACAAAACAGTTGACGTCAAATGGAAAAATTGCCAATTCTTGTCCTGCAAAAATGAAAAAAAAATGGGAATGAAAAAAAAAAATAGAGTCGAGAAATATTTCAGCGCATAAAACTTTTATGAGGCGTACTATTAGTGGGTTAGCGGGCTGAGCTGAGCTTCAGCTTTGCCTGAATTCATGGCAAATTGCACTTTGCTGCTGCTGCTGCTCCTCCTCCTCCTGCTCCTGCTGCTGCTGCTGCTACAGCCCAACAATGGCTGCATAAATTATTTGCAGCCAGGCACCTCGCAGCAGCCCGCCGTCTGACCTGCTGCTGCTGCTGCTGCTACTCCTGCTACTCCTGCCGCTGCTGGGGCAGTGCATAAAATTTAATCAACGAATCGCTGCAACGCTCGTATGTTTGGGGTTCGATAGGGCGAGGGGTGAGTGAAGCTTACCCACCTGAATGCCACCTGCTGTGGCACCTTCTCTAAGCTCGTTCATAATCGCATGTAACGCCAATTGTAAGGACAACCTTCGCATTCTTCTAGCTCTGCGTCCTTCCTGCTCGTTCGGCTACACTGATCGATTGTCGTTGTTGAATGCGCCTCGCACATGTCAATAATCAAATACAATTTGCATACCAATCAACAATGCATATAGCTGCTCGCCTCCTCCCCAGCCCCGCCTCCTGCCAGCCCATCAAGTGTCGGCGCTCGAGAGGACCTTCAGCGGCACCCACTCCAGCTGCGTAGGTGCTCAGTGCGCGTCGTCGTCGTCGCTGCCTCAGGACCTACAGCAGCTTCTTGTTACAAATCGAACTGCATTTGGAACGACTTTGTCCAAAAGCTGATTCATAAAATGTTTATAAGGGCATATAAATTCCACTTTATGCCCTATAAGTTAGAGTTCAATTTAGTGAACTAGCTCAATCTGTAACATAAAACTCGGTTCACTCATTTGAATATATATATATGGTATATATTGATCAGCAATAGAACAATTCGTTCATGTGCAGCTGAACTAGTTAAAGGAAATTTTAAGTGAATCATGTATGATTAAATGACTTATTAAAAAGTATTGTTTATAAATGAATCACATCGCTCACTAAAAAAGCAGAAAGAGTCAAGTAGTTGATTTTAGTAAACCGTTTAATCGAACTGGTTCATAGGAATATCATCATATAATATGCAAGTACTGAATGTTGGTAATAACCGGCAACATAGTTTAAATTAAAGTAGTTCATTTACGAATGGTTCAAAGGAACTAGTTCCGATGAACTAGTTCATATGAACTAGTTCAAATGTCCTGGCTCTAACTGAGTTTACATACATACACAGACTATACGCATCATCCATTAACAGCTGCTGCATTGAGTGTCGCCCCGCAACGAGCTGATACACTCTGGTTTCAAAAAAGAAAGAAAAACAAACAAGAAATGGAGAGAAGTGAAGAATAAAAAAAGTGTTAATGATGAAGTAGTTCAAGTGAACTAGTTCAAATAAGCTAGTTCAAACAAACGTGTCCTGGCTCTAGCTTTACCTGAATTTAATTATAACACCTACACGCCCGCCCCAAAGCATCAGAACTGGTAGCAATCCCTCATCCCTCATCGAGCGGCGCCCCGCAACGAGCTGATCCTGTCTCTGATGTGAAAAACAAGAAGTATAAATTTATGAACTTGTTCAAATGAACTAGTTCAATGAACTGGCTCAAATAAATGTGTCCTTGGCTCTAGCTTTATTCCACCTACCCGCCCGCTCCCTGCATCAGGACTAACAGCAACCCCTCATCCATTAACTGTATCGAGCTGTATCGAGCGTCGCCCCGCAACGAGCCGATCCACTCTCTGAAGAGAAAAACAAGAAGTATAAATTTATGAACTTGTTCAAATGAACTAGTTTAAATGAACGTGTCTTGGCTGAACTGAATTTACTTATGCCACCTACCTACCCGCCCGCCACCAACATCAGCGCTGTCAGCAACCGCTCATCGATTAACAGCTTCTATTTTGAGTGCCGCCCCGAAACGAGCAAACAAACAAAAAATTGGAGAGAAATGAAGAACAAAGAAGTGTAAACATATGAAGTAGTTCAAATGAACTAGTTCAAATGAACTGGTTCAAATGAACAAATAAATGTGTCTTGGCTCTAGCTTTATTCCACCTACCCGCCCGCTCCCTGCATCAGGACTAACAGCAACCCCTCATCCATTAACAGCTGCTGTATCGAGCGTCGCCCCGCAACGAGCCGATCCACTCTCTGAAGGGAGAAACAAGAAGTATAAATTTATGAACTTGTTCAAATGAACTAGTTCAAATGAACGTGTCCTGGCTCTAGCTTTACCTGAATTTAATTATACCGTTAATATAACCTACCCGCCCGCCCCAAAGCATCAGAACTGGTAGCCCTCATCCCTCATCGAGCGTCGCCTCACAACGAGCTGATCCACTCTCTCTGAAAACAAAAAGTATTAATTTACGAAATTGTTCAAATGAACTAGTTCATATGAACTAGTTCAAATGAACGTGCCCTGGCTCTAGCTCTAACGGAATTCAACCTTAAATCTATCTGAAATACATTAACCCAACTCTTTCATATTGTTCCATATGATGGTCATGATTCAATCAATCAATACCGGAGTAATTCCAAACGTTCGCATAAAGAGTATCTCAAATTCTCCATGTCGAGCATATGCAACTTTTCTGTTACTTTTAACTGTGCAACACGCGCGCAGCGTACAACGTGACACTGCGTGGCTGCTGCAATATGGCAAATATTATGAATTTTCAATGTTCCGAAACCCTTTCGGTGCCCGCGGATGTGCCCCGACAGCCGCAACGCAGCTTGGGGCGTCCTTGCGACACCAATTTGCACACAAGAGCCTTCACTTAAGGGTGACGCTGTCGACGAGGACAGATTCAAATAAAATATCTGGTATCTATTTTTCGAGAACGAAACGACACGTTATATTGCTTGACAGCAAAGCGAGAGAAGGAGGGAGGGAAAGAGACTGAGTGAGAGAAACGCCTGAGCAAATGAGTGAAGTTAACTGAAGTGCAGATAGTAGCGAAATCTATATGAGATGGGAGATAAGCTATGCATGCCCGATTACTTGCATTCCGTATAGCTCGAAGTACTGAGAGAAGTTAGCTTTGAATTTATATTAATATATTATTCGACAGCAGAGAGAAGCGCAGAGAGAAGCGAAAAATTCAAGTGAAGTGACAGTCAATTGATTTATATAAATATTAAATGATTTAATAGATTACTATATATATTACGTATACGCAATGTTCAACAACATGAGGAGAAAGGCAAACTTTACTCAGATACTTTTTTGTACATTTACTCACATTACATATATACGCACTTCTTACAAAACTTTTATTAGTTTATCTGTTTAAAGTTAACCCTAAGCTAATACTGTAACATCTGTAATTCAATAGACAATTAATGTCATCAATCTGTTCCACACAAGTCAAGCAATAAGGTTATTATATATCACATATTAAGTATACGCAATGCCAAAAGTTCGTTGAGCTGACTTTTTTTTTGGGAATGATATTTCTTATGCGCGTTTGTTGAATAAAAGTATGAGAATCGCATAGAGAGCTGGATAAGGGAAATTGAGTGCCGCGAGCATAAACAACCTCACCACTACACACACGCGCAGCCACACACACGCACACACACACACAAGTTCACGCCCCAGTGTCTGTGTTTTTGTTGTGCGTCGCGGGATTTTGTGTTTGTATATTTGATTTGTGCATAATAATTTGATGCGCCCAAAGCCAGGCAAATAAAATTCACAAACAACGCGCGCGCAAGCCAGCCTCGAGGCACCAAGGGCATCTCCGACCAGCGCTGAGGCTATCAAATGCAGTGAGCCCGAGCAGGGCGAGTGCGAGTGCGAGTGCGAGTGCTCGTCGCTCGGACGGACAGGGTGTTGATTTTATTTGGTAGCAACAAAAGCAATTACCTCGACATGGTGGCTTACACGGTGGCGGTGGCGGTGGCTTTGGCTCTGACACCGCGTCCCAACTGCTTGCCACACACACCCACACAGACTCATTTTGCATTCAACAACTTCCAGAGCGAGCAGCAGCAGCAGCAGCAGCAGCAGGCAACATATGTTGCATGTCAAAAGCGCCCCAACTGCGCGGCTCCATACACATTTCACTTTAACTTTCTGTGTAGCAGCATTTTCTTATGCTACTTCTCCTGCTGCTGCTGTTGTTGTTGCTGCTGTTGCTGCTGCTGCTGCTGTTGTTGCTTCTGCTACTCACAGAGAAGACGCAATGGCTGCCTACTCCTTCAGGTGGCATTAAAATAATGCACACGTGCACTTAACTTTATCCACAATTGTTTGTTTGTATGTGTTTGCTGCAGTGCCCCATTGTTAGACAGCCTAGCTCTCACTCTCTCACTCTCTCCTAGTCTCTCCCCCTCTCTCTGTTGGCATGTTTGCACAAATATTGAGACTCATACTTGAGCACATTAACGGGCGCTGCTGGCAGACGTCAGGCTGCGGGCCATCCACTACTTTGGCGGCCATTCAACCTGCGACTGCAACCGCCAGCCAACGCCATAACGCCACAACAATGTCGTCTACAATGGCTACCACGCCCACTTCCCACACACACACACACCCACACCCACCCACTGGGATGGCCAACGTGCTGCATTGTGGCATAATGAGCGAGCATTGCCGCTGGTATCGCTCTGGTTGGCTTTGTCATTGTTTAGCTTAGCTGCCACGCCCACCTCCCACAGATGTATGCATTGTTTGCAACAGTTGTTGGATTCAAGCATTTGAAATAACAACAGTCGTCTAATCACTTATGCTCTAGCTCACTCACTCTCTCTCTCCCTTTGTCTCATTCTCTCTTTTGCAGCGCCTCCTTCGTCGATCGAGATCAAAGGCTACAGCCACAACTCCAAGGTGGAAGTGCGCGAGAATCAGGATCTGACGCTCACGTGCATCGTGGCCAATGCGAAGCCGGAGGCACAAATCGTTTGGTATCGCGGAAATGTCGAATATAAGCCAGGTTAGTAAAGAAGCTAATAAAAATAATACTATAAATAGTTCTTAAGCTGTCACAATGTGTTGATTTGATTTTGGTAGTCAATCATTCACTAATTGTCAATCGAACAGTCCGTCAATCACTTGATGTGTCTCATAGTCAATCTGTCCATCAATCAGTCAGGCAGTCAGTAAGCGACACTCTACAAATCTGTTAAACAGCGAATCAGTCAGTCAATCAATCTCATGGTCAATCCTTCAGTCATCGGTACTCAATTATGCCATCAGTCAGGCCATCAACCTGTCAACCGTCAGACACCCAGTCAGGTAGTCAATCAATCAATCATTCCCTCAATTAACCACACATCATCAGGGCACCAATCAGTCAAGTCAATCATCACTTTATTCATTATTAGTAAATCAATCAATCAATCAATAATTAGCCACGAGGCATCAGGGCATCAATCAATGTATTCTTGCAGTCTTTCCATCTATCAGCCAGTTCATTTCAATCACCCTGTCAGTCCATCAGTCATTGTCACTCTGTCAGTCAGTGTGGCAAGCACTCAGTCAGTCATCCAATCAGCTAATTTGTCACGACTAACACATTTATATATTTTGTAGAGAAAATATTCACTTAAATTTTCTTATATTCACATTATATACTAATGTAATGGAAGGCTGGCGCAATCAACATCAAGACACACACACACATACACAGCAGCACACCTACACACACACACGCACACACACACGTATATAGAGAGAGCTCGTGACAAGTGTCACAACACTAAGCCATCAAATTTAATGTCCACTTACACAGCAAAATTCCGTCCCGGATCACCGTATCCAACGCATGTGTCTTCTAATGGCATGCCCAGACCTTATCCCACCTACCCGCCCGCCCCCTGCATTTGGGCTGGCAGCAACCCCTCGTCCATTAACCATTCTCATATCGAGCGTTGAGCTGATCCACTCTGGTCCACAGAAAAAAAAAAAAAAAAAACAAAAAAAAAAATTAGAGAGAAGTGAAAAAACAAAAAAAGTGTAAATGGATTTTAGCTGGCGGCAAGGCAGATCGGGAGCCTGGGCAGCCCTTTGACTGTCAACCAGTTTTTGGGGCACATGTGTGTGAGTGTGAGTGGGTGAGGAGCAGGAGCCGCCCGTTGACTTTCTGCTTGATGACGGTGCTTAAATAATAATTTTATACCCTAACAAAACGGTTGCCATTGCCGTTGCTGCTGACGTTTTGCCTTATCTCTTTGGCCTGTGTCCGTTGCCTCTGTTTGTGCCTTGTCATTTCATTGCTGGCCAGCTAAATTGGAATGGTGGACGGACGATGCTTTTCGAAAATATGGAAAAATGCAAATGTAAAAGGCATCGCGATGTCCCGGCCAGGACAACAGGCCATGGGCACCAGGCAGGAGCAGGAGGCAGTATCAGCAGCAGCAGCAGGAGCAGGAGCAGGAGGCAGTAGCAGGAGCAGGAGGCAGCAGCGCAGCGGCATCATACGGCGCTTAGTCGCTTAGTCGCCTTCACGACATTTAATTTTCATAATGATTATGATATGCAGCATACATATAGGTGAATGGATGTACGTGTGTGTGTGTGAGGCAGAGTTTATATCTATGTATGTGTGTGTGTGTGTGCGAGTGGGTGCTGTGTTTCCATCAGTTGCGTCTCCGGCTGCCATTTGGCGGCTAACGAAATCATTTTAACACAACTGGCGCGTTAAAAATGCTTAAAATGTGAAACGCACAGCGAGGACGACGACGAGGACGATGATGATGATGATGATGGGAATTTTTGGGCAAACAAACAACACCAACAACAACAACAAAAACAACTGGGAGCGGGAGTGAGAGCAAAAGAAAATAAGAAAATTTCGCAAAACAGCGTAAAATGTAGGAAAATCCGCAAAGGAAATGCGGGCAGGAGGCGGCAGCGGCGGCGGCGGCGGCGTCGCTGAAGGAAGTGCTTGGACGTAGCTGTGCATGATGAATTATGTTTACGACACAATATGTTGCGGCTGGACATGGGCACGGAGCCTGGTTACGCTCAGCGCCAACAAAAAATGAATAAGAAGACGACGAAGCAGAAGCAGAAGCAGAAGCAGAAGAAGAACAAGACTTTACGACAATGTGGTTAACGGCTCTGCAACATCATTTGCAAGCTGTCAGTGGAGCTCGCCACGAGTGTGGCTCAGCGGCTCGACGGCCCCGGGTCGTTTCGTGGGGCCAAGCTCATATGTCTGCTCATTAGTGTTGGGGCAACAACATTTTAAGCAATATTATCTGGTTAAACCAACTAAAAGAGAGTGAGGGAGAGAGGAAGAGGAAGCGAGAGAGTGAGAGAGAGAGCGAGAGTGGACAAATCCTTGCAAATATTTCAACTACATCGAGCTATTGGCAATTTATGACTTGAAATTATGTCACAAAATGTGTCGGGCTTTATTGTTGTGCTCGTCAGCAAATATTAGACGCACAAAATATGCGCCTACAAATGAATTCCAAGGGCCATGAGAATCGCGCAGAAGGGCCGACGGAGGAGGTGCGACAAAACTTCATAAAATATGCGTTAAACTTTATGACAAGGACCTGGATGTGGGGCAGGATACTAGCTGCACGTACGCGAAAATGGCGTGCAAATTTTGCAATATCCAGTTAGAGGGAATAGCACCCTCCGCACACACACACACACACACACACACACATACACCCATGCACGCACACCCGCCATTTTAATTTTCTTTGTATAGAGCTCGCTGCTGAGTGCTGCTGTTGATGTTTTGTTGTTGTTATTATGATAAATCGCAGACATTTAACGCAGCGCACAAGAATTTATAACACACACACACGCAGCACACACCCACACACACACACACACACACATACAACTGCATTTTTGGAAGTTTGCTTGTTGCGTCATTATTTATGGCAATGCGTGTTGCTGGCCCTGCCACATGCCACAGTTCACAGTTACTGCAAAGGACAGGCGAATAAACTATACAATCTATGCATCTTCATATACAACATTCTTTTTATCTTGACTGACTGACTGGCTGACTGATTGACGGCATGACTGATTGACAATCACGAGTACAATGCCAGCTTGATAGCGGCAGAATGCGCTTTGCCTTTTGTTATTAAATTCTAGAGCTGTTTGTATGAAAATTCATTAAGTCCGAGTTTGACTTCACTTGGAAATATATTTTACTTTAATAAAATTTATATCTAGAAAATTCAGGTAATTAACATTTAGTTAACTTTCTTCGTGCTTCTCTTTATCAATGGAATTTAAAATATAAAAATATTTTTGATATATAATTACTATTAATGCAATTTGTTTGTTAATTTCAAAAATTTGTATTTGCATAAATATATTTTTAGAAAAATTAAAAATAAATGTATATTTAAAATACAATTTATGCAAATATTTAAGATAATACAAGTATATAAAATCAATATTAAATATATATTTTACAAATATCAAAGACAAATGCCAAAGCCACAGACTCTGTATATAATTTATTAAATTATAATATAATATAAAACAATTAATAGTCTAAAATAAATAGTAATAATAATAATATCTATTATTTTTCCATTTACTTTTATATCTTCCTCTTATATCACTTAAACGCTTTCCCAATCTCATTTCCTCTCTTCTGCTCTCTGCTTCACAGAAAAACGGGAAGACAAGGTCGAGGAGTCCACGCCCAAACGCTTTACAACCACCTCGAGTCTGAAACTGAAGCCCGGCGCGGATGATGACTACACGGAATACACCTGCCAGGCCAAGCACAAGGCTCTGTCCCCGGACATGCCCATGCGTTCCACCGTGCAACTGTCCGTGTTGTGTGAGTAATGAAATACATATATACACAGACACACACACACACACACACACACACACATATGCACATACATGTATATGGATGCAGCTGCTCAATGGCCGTTGGTAGGCTAACGGCCTGGCCTGGCCTGGCCTGCCTTTTGTATGGCATGTCAAATATATGCGTACTGCGAAATGCCAAATGGCGACCTCATTAGCCGGCTCAAAATGCCAAGTTTGCAATACAATTGAAATGGTAGCCGCGCACACTTATGCCAAGCGCTCACCTCGATGCCGGCCATTTGTGAGCCACAAAAACGAGCGGGGAGTACAGAGGGGGCTACCACCCCCTCAGGCCACCTCTCTGGCCGCTAATTGCGCAATTGGTGCGCGTATTAATTAGTTTTTAAATTCTAATGCGACGACCAGCTGCTGCCTCTGCTGCTCTGCTGCTGCTCTGGCTGCTGCATGGGGTCACAGGTTATTGTGTGTGATGTGTGTGTGTGTGCGTGTGCGGGCACAAGAGGTCACAACAATTGCGTCGCATTTCAAACTTCTGTTATTGATTGCCAGCTTTGACCAGCGGTAACCAAAGTAGGCAGCTGCCCAGCCCTCCACCTGTCCTCCCCCCTCTCTCTCTCTCTCTCTCTCTCTCTCTCTCTCTCTCTCTCTCTCAGACACACCATATTCAAATTAATTATGTTTGCTATTTATGCATTGGATGCTGCTCCGGCTGCCCTGGCACTGTAGCTGCCTAACTGTGTAGTTGACCACGAGGCTATTATTGGTGCTGCCATTCATTTAGCCACTTCGTGCTCTTTGGCCAATGCCGGCACAGCTGCCAATGCCTGTTGACAAAATAGATTGAATTTGAATTTGAATTGCCCAAGCAGCCAACAGGCAATGCACAGCCCACATTCTCTACCAATTATTATGCCTTTAACGTGCGCTGAACGAGCCATTGCAATTATCGTTGATTAATCATTGCTAATGCATCAGTCGAATGCAAAATTCAGTCAAGTCTGGCTGGCTGGGAATTATTTAAAGGAATCATTTATTAATTTGGGCATAACAATTATTTATTTCACTTACTTAATTTCTATTCCCACACACTTTTCATTATACTCTATATTCAATTGCTATTCCTGCAGTAGTTTTCACTTTGTTCTTCAAACTTTCTCCAGTTCAACTGCAAAAGATTTTAATAATGAGGAAAGAGGAAAGCATCTCCGCCTGAAATTTAATAATATTTTAATGATTTCTTAAATATCATATCTAACCAGCTCTTAATAGTCTTACATTTTTTAGTCAGCCAGTCAAAATAAAAGAATTCAACTGAGTCATAAGAAAAATTGTTAAGCTTTGCCAAATAAATGAATCCTAACAAAATTATATTTCAATTTCAATTTCAATTTATTTCACTCTTTGTTGTAATTACAGTTTTTTGTGAATGGTATCTTACAATAATTAAAGAGTTTAGACTAGGAACTAGGCCTTTTCTGCTTAGATATTTACTTAGAGATATGACATGGTATATAATATGACTTAATTATTTGGGGGAAAAATCAAAGAAATAGAAAACCCCGAGATTATTTATTACAAACTAACTTAAACACTAAATAATACTTAAAATTAAATGGCTATGCCAGTTCATTTATATGTGAATATGTTGATTCATGACACTTGGCTATGAAATTTTGCGATAGTCGCGATAATCTAATATCTACCAATTCAACATTGGCTCGACAGTGTAGATCTAACGTGGAATGATGCCAAGGAAGATTCAAAATAAGCTTCAAGATTTTATTTTGTGCGATTTGCAATTGACTTATGTGACATTTGGCTATATCTGACCAGACAGGTGCACCGTAAAAAGTAACTGATTGGAAAATTGACCTATACAAGAACATTTTGTTTTCTATGCTTAGCCTCGAGTTTCTATTTATAAAGGGATATAACGTACGAAGAATATGTTTGAGCTTTTTGTTTGTATTGGTTATATGGTCCTTGAATGTAAGTCTTCTGTCCAGTGTAATACCCAAGTACCTGACATTTGGATCCCACTTTATATATTCCGAGCCCAATCTGATGTCTGTTATTGGCACGTAGATGTCCTTTCGTTTTTTTGTGAAGAATATAGCCTTGGTCTTTTCTGGGCAGACTAAAATTTTCCATTGAGAGAAATATGTACCTAAAGAGTCATATGCTGTTTGGAGGTTTCGAACTATATCTGCAGAAAGAATTCCACCACAAAGAATTGCTGTATCGTCCGCAAAGACCGAGGTAGTGCAATGAGGTAATATTGGGAGATCAGAGGTATATATATTATATAGAATAGGGGATAGGCATGAGCCTTGGGGACAGCCTGCTGAGATGTTAACTGCTGTGGATGAAGCATTACCTAAATATACAATAAAAGATCTGTTTTTTAGATAACTTTGGATTATCTTTATGGCCGCAGGTGGGAAATTAAGATGTAGCATTTTGTGTATTAGGCCGTCATGCCACACTGAATCAAATGCGGCTTTGATATCTAGCAATACCATTCCCGTTGACATAGAACTAGAAAAATTATCTTTAATGATTTTTTTAATTCTATAAAGGGGCTGAACAGTATTGTGTTCGCTTCTGAATCCAAACTGGTGACTTGGAAGGATATTATTGGATTCAACAAAATGAGTTAATTTATCTTGGATAACCTTCTCTAGTATTTTGCTGACTGCCGACAAAAGACTAATAGGTCTGTATGACGAGAGCAACTCGACAGGCTTATTTTGTTTTGGAATAGGAACAACTTTAGCACATTTCCAGACAGAAGGGAAATAGCATAACTCTAGGCATTTATTGACTATGTAAGTAATAAACTTTATTCCCTTCGTAGGTAGGGTTTTTAAGCATATATTGTCAATTTTGTCAATACCTGGAGATTTCTTCTTCTTCAGCTTTTTCAGTATACCTTTTATGACGCTGGAGCTAACAAAGTAATCATTCAGCGGCTCTATAGATAATTGCGCGACTGAGAGGATTGAGGCATCGACAGCGGCTTTAGTTAGCGGATCACCGAGCCCAGCAGCTACGATATGATTTAGTCGAAAGGATTGAGCTAACGCCTCAGCCTTTTCTTCTTCTGTCGTGTGACTGATGTTATTATTGACTAATGTTGGGATATTTAAGTGTTTCTTTCTAACAATTTTGGAGAGTTTCCAAAAGGGGGAAGAACCTTTATCTAAGGCTGCAAGAGTGATATTCCAGGATTTATTTCTAAATTCTAGTATCGCTTTGGTGATTAGTTTATTTAACCATTTTAAAAGGATGAGATCGGACTGGTGACGATATCTCAGCCAGGTGCGCCGTCGTATGTTCCTACTCTTTATAAGGTTGAGAATGTTTTGCGGCAGTGGTTTTGGAGAAAATTTGATTTGTTTTTTTGGGATGCTAATATCTTTGGCTTCGCGAAGGACATCACTAAAAACATTAATCATATCATCAACATCTTCTGTGCGGCACATTAAGTTGGAGTTTAGGGGTGGAAGCGAATTTTTGACAAAACGGGCGAATCTTACCCAGTTTGCTCTTTTCACATCGAAGTAAAAGTAGTTTGCGGTAATGGCAGAATTGACAGATACCTCAAGCAGCACTGGAAGGTGATCAGAGTTTAATGTGTGTAGCACACGTGGGCTAGCTAGATAACCAGGACGATTAGTAAGGAAAAAATCTAAAGTTGAGGGTTGCCCGTGACTTCCTGCAGGGTAATATGTATGTTCAGAGGGATGCATTAGATAAAAGTTCCTGCAGTCTACCTTAGATTTGAGTAGATTACCCCACGAGTTCGCTCTAGAGCATCCCCACGACTGATGTCTGCAATTAAAATCCCCTCCCAGAATAAATGTTCCATTTGCACTACACAACTTATGTAAATCGGCCTGAAAAAGCTGTTTTTTCGAGGAATTTTCGCGGCCCCCTGGGAAATAGCATGAGTAAATGGACGTCTCAGTGCCATCACTAATGAAGATTTTTACGCCAATTGTTTCAATAATTTTAGTATTTGGGAGAGGTAGCAAAGAGTGGCGGATATTTTTTTTAATAAAGATTGCTACCCCTCCTCCTCTACTAGTCGTACGGTCGTTTCTGTAACAGCTATAATTACGAATCTTGAGGAAAATACTATTTTTTAACCAGGTTTCAGATACAAGGCAGATGTCAATGTCGTTGTTGAACAGGAAGTGACAAAATTCTTCTTTTTTTGTTTTGAATGCCCCTGGCATTCCACGCAATGATCTTTACTTTGTCTAACATTAAGAAAGAAATTTGAAGGCAAGTGAGGTTATTACCTCAAACTGATCAGTCTTGGATTTACAATTTCTGAGATTACTAATGAGCTCAAAAGTAAGACTTTTTAGCTCGTCTAGCGAAAAGAGATCACTGCTTAACTCTGGTTGCCTGGCCCAGGTTGTCTTTAATGGTTCAGATATCTGTCCATTAAGAGTTGGGAAGGTTTTTACGCAGTTTAACTGTGGAGACTGTAATGGTGTTCTGACTACCCGTGCTTTGGTGACGCCCCTATCCCTTGACTTTATATAATTTATTCTGCCTGGGCACTCCACTGAATTAGACTTATGAGAGCCGTGACAATTTGCACACTTAACAGGTAACTTTTCTGAACACTCAATAGTTTTATGGTTTCCTGCGCAATTCATACAGTATGGTTTTACACTACAATAGGAAGATCCGTGCCCAAACATCTGGCAGTTAATAAATTATATAAATTTATTTGAAAGTATTCTGAATTTGCAAGTAAAAAAAGAGAACAAATATATAAAATTGTTTTCATTTTTAATTTTAATAAATTAATAATAATTTTTAAATTTAATTATTTTGGTATTAATTTAATATTTTATTTTTAAATTAATATACAGCAAAAAACACGAAGCAAATGGAATGTCATATCAATAAAGAGCTGAAACTGAATGTCAATTACGACTCTAAATTGTATTAAAGAAAAATATGCTATATAATAAAATTTTAACAAAGACTAAAGAGAGAAATAAAAGATCATATCTAAATTCGATTAAAATATTAAATTAAATTATGGATCTAGAAATATACGTAGGACTCTGTAGCTATAAGGACTTTATTGAATTATTATAGGACCATTGTCAAGTCTGCTGATTCGCTTTGGCCTAGCCGAACTTACATAATTCTGTAGCCAACTTTGTGAATTGAATTCGGCCAAGAGTTGTTAGAAGTCAATCAAATTTAATTACACTAAAATTCCACTATATCCGTCAATTTGGTCTATTGAAACTAGCGTACACCGAACTACACTGAAATTCAATTCAAATGCTCATTTACGCCAAAGCAAAGTGAGCTAATTGCTTAATTGTTTATCAATTGGCGCTTCATTTGGTAGCAAATAAAAATTGTAGCTGGGGCAGCTGCCAATGCGAATATGAGATAGATGTGATAGATCCGTTTTAAACGCTATCAGCCACACACACAAACACAAAGAGAGAGTGTGCGTGTGTGTGTTGGCTATAAATATTTATACATCTTAATTGCGGCTACACTTACGCGTATCTGTGGGACATTCACATTGCCGTGCAGTTGGGCCATACATATTTGCTCGCCTCAGTGCTTAATTATGCGCTATTATTGCAGAGCAGCAACACCACACCCCCCGCTGCACCCGCCGCCCTTCTGACCTGCTGCCTGTCAAGGACCAGTCCAGTGCTGTAATCGGATTCAGTTGGCCACATGCTGGGGCCATATTCATGGGCAAATCCCCCACGCAAACGATACTCGTACACAATATTTTAAGTGATATTAATTTAATTGTGTGCCGCTACATATAGTCGCTCTCCCTCTCTCACTCCCTGTCTCTCTCTCCCTCTCTCTCTGTGTGTATAGATTATGGCTCAGTTCGCGGCCTCACTTTAAAGCACACATTGCGTATACGCACCTTTGGCCAGCTGGTCAAAAATGTTGTAGAATCGCTTCAAACCATTTGAATTGTTTTTGTTTTTGTTTTTAAGGGCGTTTAAAGGTCGTTTTTTTGCCCGTGGTATTTGCAATGTGATTAAAACGCCCACAAAACATGCAAAATTACAGACACAGCTCAGGCGAATGCAATGCAGCTATGCCACGCCCTCGCTCAAACGCGCCACAAAAACAAAAGCAAAAGCAAAGAAAAAAAACAAATAAAAAGCCAACAACGGCGGAAATCGACGAAAATAATGCATTTTAACCACATAAACGATTGGCGTGCAAACACTTCAATTAAAAACGGCGCACGAATTGTGTTGCATATGCATATGGCCGTGCCACATTTGTTTTAGTGTAAATTGAATTTATTTGCGGCAGACGCAGATACAATTAAATATGCAAGCAAATAAGCCCACACAGACAATATATATATATATATATATATATATATGTATATATATGTATGTATATTATCCATTATCCTGTTACATTATAACGGCTCGCGCTTTAACAAGTCCATTTTACTATTATTTTGTTTTTTCTTTTCTGCTGCTCCACAGATCCGCCCGGACCGCCGTACATTGAGGGCTATTCACCCACTGAAACGCTGCGGCGCGGCCAGACGGTGGAGCTCATTTGTCGCAGTCGCGGCGGCAATCCGCCCGCACAGCTCATCTGGTACAAAAACAATTCACAAATACGCATGGCCTACAGGTAGGTGGAGCAGCTCAGCTGGCGGTGCTGCAGTTACCGTTGCCATCATTATCTATCTCTATCCATTTGCTTGCAGAACCTCGGGCCGGCTATCGGAGAATATCTACACGTTCACAGCCGAGGCGAGCGACAACAAGGCGCGTTTCCGTTGCGAGGCGAGCAACGTGATGTCGCAGACGCCGCTCAAGGCGGAAGTTGATTTGACTGTGCTATGTAAGTGCAACCACCCCTACAACCACCCATACAGCCACCCATACAGCCACCCAGCAGCATCATCAAAGTGAGAGCCAGCTGCCCTTAATGCTCTGCCATCAGATAATTTGCGTGTCCTGCCGGCTCGAGTCGACTCGAGTCTCGTTATGCAGATGGTGGCAATTGCCTGCTGCTGCTCCTGCTCCTCCTGCTGCTCCTGCTGCTGCTGCAATGCCTGCTCGTTGCGACTCCTTTGCATGTTTGCCTAATTGTATTTCGTTAATTTTCATATTTACACACTCTGACGCCCACACACACACGCACGCACACACACACACACACACGCACACTTATGCTTACACTCAGTCTCTGTCGCTGGTTTGTGTCAACAGTCGTCCTTTGCAGCATGCCACTTGGCACGCGACTCAAAGCGAAAATAAGCCTGACAAACTCTGACTCGCTCGCACTCCCCACACTCCCCCTCTCTCTCTCTCTCTCTCTCTCTCTCGTACACACTCAGTGTGCGCTTTCTTTTGCAATTAAGCTTAAGTTTGCACTCTCATCCAACAGCAGCCACCCTCACCCACTTGGCTTTGTCAAATCAAGCAATGCAAATTCTTTTCAAGTGCCAAATAGCATAAACCCCACCCACGTCCACGCCCACGCCTCTCACAACAATTGCAATCAGGCTGTGGGGAAGGGAGCGCGAGTTTCGTCTGGCCAAAAAACGTCGTTAGTCGTCGTCATTTGCATTTGCAGTTGCTAAAGCATCAAGTCCTCTACTCCACGGTCTGCTCTGCAAGAGCCTCCACACACACATACACACTCACACACACTCACACACACTTGTCTGTGTGTCAAACATGCAAATGGGCTACTTGAGGGCATGCGCTGCGTATGCGTGATATTCAAATTTGAAAGCGAGGCGAGTGGCCGTTGCTGAATTGTCGCTGTTTAGCGTTAGTTTACCTGCATAATGAAAGGCTGTCAGCACGTGCCCAGCCAGAGCTAATCCTCCGCACCAGCAGCGCCACGTCTGCCACTCGGACATGGCCAACTTGTCCGGCCAATCAAATTGGCTCATGTTACTTAACCAGCTAAGCTAGCCTTTGTTTACCTTCATCTTTTTAGCCTCCAAATATGCCACATTGAGTGGCCAGCCAACTGGCCCACACACACACACACACACACAACCATTTTGACTTCAGCTGCGCTCGCTTTTCGCATTATTTATGTATAACGAAATGTGGCACAAAAATGAAGACGTAGCTGGCATACACATAGAAATTCCTGACCCGACGCACGTCGCGCCCCTCTTCCGTACCCTGCTCCTGCTGCAGCGTCTCATGTGTGCTCGGAATGAAGATGTATGGCAAAAGATGCGAGAAGTTAAGAATTCATAATGTTTATTTATATGCGAAACATATCGAGCCGAAGTTTTCTCCATCCTTTTTTTTTTTCATTTTATCCCTCACTCTGCCCCCCGTTTGCGAATGGGTCCAGCGAGGCGTATGCGTAATACATGCACAGCTGCTCCTGCTGCCTGCTGCTGCTGCTGCTGCTGCTGCTCCCTGCACTTATCCATCAAGAAAAGTAGCAGCCAGCTGCAGCTATAGCTTCAGCTTCAGCTTTAGCTTCGACTTCAGCTTCAGCTTCAGCTCCTGCCACTTTCGTTACTGGCATTAGGTAATAGCTCGCCAAGGCAGCGCCTCAGTCGCCTGTCACTCAGTCACTCAGTCATCATTTGCATTCAGGCAGCTAGGCAGAAGCGATACGCAGTCTCACTCACACATGCCCCCTCCCTCCCCCCCCTGCCACACCCTGCACGTGTATATAAGCCGTGCGGCATGCCACAAGTGAGGCACTGGCGCAGGCTTATTAAATATTAATGTCATGCGAAATTACTGCTGCTCCCCTCCCACACACACACACACACACACATACGCATAAAACCTGCTGCTATCTATAATCCATACATCTTTCTTTCACATACAGTCGCACCTTCGCAAGTCACTGTGACAGGACCGACAGAGGCGCGCGTCGGCGATGTGGTGCCGCTGATGTGCACGACAGCGCCATCGAATCCGCCCGCCGAGATCAAGTGGATGGTGGGCGGACGGCAGATACGCAATGCCACCTCCAAGACGACCATCAGCCCAGAGGGTGAGTTGAACTGAACTGATTGAGCTCGTTTAGAGAGAGAGAGAGAGGGAGAGATAGAGAAACATTTGCTAATTATCTAACGATTGTCATTCATTGCAGGCGGCTGGACCACCAGCTCGAACATCACCACCATTGTGGAGCCCAACAAGCGCTCCCTGGTGGTCATCTGCCACGGCCTCAATATGCAGCTCACCGAGAATGTGGTCTCCACGCATACGATTAATGTTCTGTGTGAGTATTAAGCAGAGATTGCTCTTACCTTGGACTAAAATAAGCAACAACTGTAGTCGACTATCTATATACCCTACATCAATTTTGACGCTGCTTCGCTTTAGCTGTCGTTCAGCACATGTTTCGCCTTTTCCCCTCAACTCAGCTCAATTTGTTATTGACACGCTTACGTTAAGTTTGGGGTATTCAGTTTCAGTTAATTTTTTTTTTAATTTTGGTGCATTCATCGGTTGAAGATGGTTTCGCACCTGCCGAAATGCCTGTCAGAGTTTTCGCTCGAGGAGCCAGCTGAGAACGTCGAGGAGGTGCAAAAGAGCAAGTCCGTCGGCTACAAGAAGAAGAAATTGAAGAAGCACACGCCCAGCAGGCCAATGGGCGTGCTGGAGTTGGCGCGCTACACAATGTGGCGCGAGCATCGGGAGCGTTTGATGAACATCGTCAGCGAAATCGATCAATCCCCGCCAGCCACACAGGCGGTGCGCCAGACCCGTGTGAATGCGCTGCGCGAGGAGGCGCAGCAGTTTATGCAACGCACCAAGGAGAACATTCACATGCTGCTCAATCTCTCGCAGACGATGCGCACCCACGGCGCCATCGATCCGTTTCGGCACGATGCGCCGTATGTGATGTCCATGGTGCCGGCGACGATTAGCGATCTGGAGCAGCTGGAGCAGGATAATTTCGATATGGGCAAGCGTCTGTTGAGCATCGGCAGTGAGATCGACTCGGGCCTCAAGGCTGATGGGGCCGCCAACAAACGGGACTCGCAGCCCTTTGTGATGCCCGATCGCGCGATGGCCAAGTACAAGCCGTTCAACATCAAGCTGCCCTCGACGGACAAGGAGCGCTGGCAGCTCTTCCGTCCGCGCATCTACTTCGAAATGTATCTGAAGGACGCCCGTCCGCTCGGCCGCATCGTCGTCCAGCTCTACACGGAGGCAGCGCCCGTGGTGGTCCTGCAGCTGGTGCGCGCCTGCATGTGCAACATGCACAACAAGTTTCAGATCAAGCGTCTCTTTCCCAACCTCTGGCTGGACGTCGAGCTGCCCACGGAGAACAACACCGCGCTGAACAGCCCCTTGGAGTACGATGGCAAGATCATTGATCATGGCTCCGGCGGCTATGTGCTCTCGTTTAGCAAGAGCCATCTGACGGGCTTCGGCGACAGCATTCCCTTCTCCATCTCGTTCAAGCCGCTGCATGTGGTGAACGGCTCCAGGGTCGGCTTCGGCCGTGTCGTCAAGGGCAGCAAGATCTTCGAGTGCCTGCAGAGCTATGGCAACAAGAATGGCACCCTCAGCCGTGGCCTCACCTTCACCGACTGCGGCGTCCTCTGAGCGCCACCAGACTCCACAATTCCACAGATACCAAGTCAGTTCCTGTTTCAGTTCGGTTTCAGTTTCAGATCCACAGCCAAATTTGATGTATTCAAATAAGTTGGACAGGGTAAACCTAGCAGCACGTATCAGATGTCAAATTTTTGTCGTTTTAGCCAGTGTCTGTTTTAATGTCAGTCTAGTTTTAAAAGCTAACCATATAGGGTCATAGTAGGGATACATGAGAATAAAAAAAATTATTTAGCTAAAATTTATAGTAACATTCTTTTACCGTTGTTGATAAGAAAACCCCCGTTAGCATACAAACGGCCTATCGATGTCTCTGTACAAGTTTCCACGTTGCCAGTCGATCACCTCGATGGGATCAGCAGAGTTCAATGCGATGCAAACAGCCGAAGCGGCTCCCAAGCCGGAGGCCAAGCCGAAGCCAAAGCCGAAGCCGAAGTTCAAAACTCTGCTGGAGAAGCAGAAGAAGCCCAAGGTAAAGATGCACAACGCCGGCCACATGGCCGCCTGGCGCGAGCATCGGGAACGGGTGCTGGGCATGACGAGCGAACTGGATACGCGGCCGCCCGGCTTCCAGGCGATCCGGGTGACCGGTGTGATCACGTTGCGCCAGATCGCCATGCAGTTCATGGAGCGCACCAGAAAGAACATCCAGATGCTGGTCGAGCTATCAAAGACGATGCGCACCCACGGCGACATCATGCCGTTTCGCTATGATCGGGTCTACACGATGTCCTCGCTGCCGTACACGCTGAAGCAACTCGATCGCCTCGATGTGGAGAATCGGGATATTGGTAAACGGATCAAGGACGTGGTAAGCGGACTCGACACGGGCATCGAGAAGAAGAACAGCCTAGTCAAGAGGAAGCATAAAGCGCGCATACCACCGTTCCATATGCCCCAGACCGGCCTGGCCAAATACAAGGGCTATAACATTACGATGCCCAAGACGGACAAGGAGCGCTGGAATCTGCTGCGTCCCACCATCTATTTGGACATCTTTCTCAAGGGTTCACGTCCGCTGGGTCGTATCGTTGTCCAGCTGTATACGGAGGCCGCTCCCGTCGTAGTGCTCCAGATGGTGCGGGCCTGCATTTGCAACATGCACCAAAAGATCGTCATCAAGCGACTGTTCCCCAACCTCTGGATGGATGTGGATCTGTTGGAGCATGGCAACTCTGACCTGAACCAGTCCCTGGAGTACGATGGCAAAATCATTGATCATGGCGCGTCCGCCTATGTCCTCTCCTTTAGCAAGGAATATCTGCAGGGATTTCCCAAAAATGTCTCCTTTTCCATGTCCTTCAAGCCCCTCAGCGTTGCCAATGGCAGCCGCATCGGCTTTGGCCAGATCATCCAGGGCAGCAAGATACTCGATAGCCTGCAGTGCTACGGCACCAAGAACGGCAAGCTCAACCGCAGCATCGTTTTCACCAGCTGCGGCTTGCTCTAAATTCATGTAAATGTACGAAATTACCAGTGATCAAGTAATATGCGATTCGTGTTTAGTTTTTTAGAAATGTCAGTTAGATGCATAAGCAAATTTCAGAGTGTCGTCTGTGTGAATTTTCGAAGCCGTATTTCAGATGCTTCACTACAATTATCCAAATGAGGTCCTTTAAATTTTTTTATGCTAATTATTATTATTACTATTATTATTATTTTGGCCGTATTCAAAATTCCAAAACCTGATCAGATCATTCAGAGCACAATTTCAATAAATTTGAAGTAATCTATTGGGCCTTTTTTGGGGGTATATATAGTAGACGTAATATGCATATGATATACCTAAAGTACCCCTTGAAAGAGGATAAAAAATGAACATAAGTCAGAACTTTGATTAGGCATAGATCGACAAGGCTGTCCTAGCCATATGGAATATTGTCTATAGGAAAATATGCTAAATCTATCAGCTTAATATGGACGAGAAGTATGTTAGGCCTGCAAGTAGTCTAGAACAGGAAGAACTTCAGGAAAGTTGTTCAGTAGAAAGAATAACAAAAAAATATTTATTAATAGATAACTACATCAATAAGCACAGGAAAGAGTTTTAAACAGGAAAGAGTATAGGATAGGTAAGAGAGTAGGACAGATAATAGTTTATGAGAGTAATTCCATGGAATCAATAGACATACCTCTTCCCATATGATGATTAAATCCAGGTTCTTTCCTTTGTCTTTCTTTTTCCTGTCATTGAAAGACCTCAAAACTGTCGAAGAGTTTTACTTAATCTGATAATAGTTCATTTAAGAATAATCAGCTTCTTGCTTACTAAATATTTTATTGCCGGCATAATTATTTGAATTAAGAATTCATAGGTAAAATTATTTTTATCTGTCTTACTCTCACCATCGACCCCCTTTTTTACTCCCTTTTTGAAGGGATAAACCTGTTCTGCAGGTTGTTTGGCAGCATTGGAGCGGGCTGTCATTAGCATCACTCAGAGTTTGAGTTCCAATCAGTTGGCAGCACAGCGTCAACGCCTGTCAATTTGTTAACTAAACTAGTTGCTGCTGTTGTTGCTGCTGTTGCTGTTGCTGTTGCTGTTGCTGCTGCTGCTGCCTCATGCTGTTGGCTCATGTCCAGCCTCATCTCTATTTGCCACGTTACAGACGGAGGTGTCTTAAACTCCATTATGCCATGTTCGACGTCACTCTTCATTTGCCTCAATTATAAGCGGACAGAGTGAGGAAAAAGCGCAAAACACGAGTACAAGTCAAACAGAGACTTTGTGAGAGGGAGTGGGAGGGAGAGAGAGGGGCTATAGGAAACAAGCCATAGAGCTCTGACAGTTCTCACTTCTGCTTAACAAGATGGCCAACCAAGTTTTGGTTACAAGGCCCACTACACAAGGCTTATTAATAATTGCGCCATTCTCTGGCCAATTTCTAGTTTCAGTCTTTGACTTAGCCAGCTTGGCTGGCCAGCGGCAGCGGCAGCGGCAGCAACTGGTAAACAAAGCCAGCGACCACTTGAAGGCCCAGCTAGGCTACTGGCTGACTTATTATACCCTGAACCCATTTTCAATGGGAAATCAGGGTATAATGGTTTTGTTGAAATGTATGTAACAGGCAGAAGGAGGCGTGGCAGACCCCACAAAGTATATATATTCTTGATCAGGGCGACGAGCTGAGTTGATTTGGCCCTGTCCGTCTGTCTGTCCGTCTGTCCGTCTGTCCGTCCGTCCGTCTGTCCGTCTGTCCGTATGTATGAACGCGTCGATTTCAGAAGATATAAGAGCTAGAGACTTCAAATTTTTTTTTAAATGTTCGTAATTACAGCGCGCATATCAAGTTTATCATTAAAAATCGATAACTCATCCCGATCTTTTTTTATCGATAAAAAACCTTATCGAAAACCAGTTATAAAATTATGTCTTCTACACCTTTATTGCGAGAGTCTCCAAAATTTTAATGTATGCCTATATGCAATTTATACAATTTCGGTTTTTGTTAAAATTTACCCCCCACCCTTAAATTCACCCCCTCACCCTCACTTTTGTAAAAAGCGTATTTCAAATACTAGAGACTTGTGCTTTGGCAATTACATGCATATCCATGTCATAATCATAATCTGAAAGTTTCATGAAGATCGTACGTCCACAAAAAAGTTATTAAGCAATTAAGTTCTCATAGTAAGCGCTCACTGCCGCCCATGCGTGTATATGTATGTAATTGTTTGTGTATGTGTGTGTGTGTATGTTTGTATGTATGTGTGTGTATGTATGCCTGTGTGTGCGTGCGTGCGTGCGTGTGTGTGTGTGTGTGTGTGTGTTTCTTGTGTAAGCTGAAAGACGCGAAAAATTATTGAAATAGCTATTACTCCAAGGGTTCAGGGGATCTCGTAGTCGAGTAGTCTCGACTAGAGCTTTCTTACTTGTGTTGTTGCTGTTGTTGTTGTTGTTGTTGTCGTCCACGCGTCCTTTATGTGCAGCGCTCCTGCAGCGCTAATTAATTTTTCTGACCAGCATTCACAAACAGCGGGGGCGGAGCCGCAACCCGACTGCGAGATTTACATTTATTACCCATACCCCCCCCAGGCCTGGGGCCACTCTCTCTCCCACTCTCTCTCTGTCGCCCCCTTTCTCAATCTCCCTCTATCTCTCGCTGACAGGCTGCAGCTGCCAGCGCTGGAGGCATAGAATTGCTCCCCTTTCACTGGCCCGCCAGCTGTTTGGGATTTTAGGCAAATTCAAGGCCGTTTTGTGCCTTGTGTGAATACATACATATACATATATACATATATATTTCTACATATATATATATTGTACAATATATGCTCTGGGCCCTCGAGATGCTTGTACTTTATGCGCGGCAAATTAAATAATTTTAATTTTTATTGTTTGGGCCCTGCTGCCCCCACCCTGCTCAGCGGTTGGTCCTTGGCTACGGATTCCACTTTTAGTAGGCCATAATTTGCTGGCCAAGTTTCGTTTTTTCTCTGTGTGTGTCTTTTTTCTTCTAGTTGGCCAACATTTGTTGTTTTTCTTTGTCCTTTTCGCCATGCTGACGTTTTTTCGCCTCTCTATCTATTTATTTTTTTTTGCTCTTCCTTGCAGATCCGCCCTCTCCGCCATTAATTTCGGGCTATATGGAAGGACAAATTATACCAGCCGGGTCGGTGCAAAAACTCCTCTGTGTCTCATCGGGCGGCAATCCGTTGGCAACGTTAACGTGGTACAAAAACGACAAACGGGTGAGTTTTTCTATTTCTCTCTGTTCTTTTCTGTATATATATAAATAGGGGTACGGGTAACGGAAATAAGAGTATATTGGTTTCATTTCTGCAATGTGAATGCATTTTGTGGCCAATGAGACGTTGAGTTGACTAGACTAGCGGGAGTTGATATATATTTATATATTTTAATAGATCATTTTAGCATTGAAATTTCTAATGATATTTTGGCCAATAACTAGAAATAAATAAAGTCAAGAAATAAATAAATCAATAAATATAAGTAAATAAAAAAAGATCAATAAATAAATAAACAGCCAAATTTATAAAAAAATAAATAAATTTAGAAATATTCAAATAATAAATAAAAAAAATATCTAAACAAATAAATAAATGAATAAATAAACAAATCGATAAATAAATAAATAGTTTAAAAAATTTAAGAAAAGGAAAAAATATCGAAAAAGTTCATAAATAAATAATAATAAAAAATAAAAGTAAAATATTTAATATAATTATAAAATAAACATATAATTAAATCAAAACAAAATCCTATACAAAATAATTCTAGTCGAACGCGCATTACACAGTCAGTAAAGCGCAAAGATATTTTGCATATGCAGCAGAGCACACACACACACGCACACACAATAGAGATAGAAAATGTAAACACACACACACTCACACACACACACCCAGTTGGAGTCGTTATGCTATCAACAGCAGACAAACAACAAACATGCGCCAAACAATAATGGCGCTATTGTTGACCATTTCCGCTTCCGGTTTATGGGCTGAAAGTGCTAATAAGGCTGAAAGCGCAGCTGGAGATGGAGCTAGAGTTGGAGCTGGAGTGGAAAATGGCATTTTATCTGCAGCTACTTTAATGTCAGCGCGCCGTGCATATCCTTTAGCACCTTTGCATAACTGATGTTGATGCTGATGTTGCTGTTGCTGCTGCTGCTGCTGCTGCTGCTATCGAGCGATTGTCGTTGCCTGGGCTAAGCTCCAAAATTAAATCTTTAGCTACGTTTGGCTGCAGCGGAAGTGGCCGCAAATGCGCCAGCTGTCGAGCTGCTGTTGCATACTTATGGGCGCTGTCGGGCTGTGGACTGTGGGTGGTGGGTGGTGACTTCCTTCAGCTGTAAACTTGATATGCAACAAAAAGGCAACTAGCCACCGTCGACTGCTGCTGGCTGGCTGTCACAGCAACGGAAACAAGCAACTGCTCTCTCTCTCTCTATCTCTCTCTATCTCTCTCTCTTCCACTCTCCCTCTCTCTCTTTTGCCATCTTTATCACCATTGCGGTTTGCTTGCCATCTATCTCAGCCGTAAGGCGCCGCCTGCGGTGCCCGGTGCGGCTGCTCATCTGTGTGCGCGCAGATTAAATGATATTTTATCAACAAAATTAAAATGCGCTGTGTTTTATGCTCGCAGCTCTTAGCACTGCGCCTGCCAGCTGCTCCTCCAGCTATTCGCCTGTCTGTCTCTCTGTCCTTCTGTCTGTCTGTGTCACCCTCTTTGCATATGCAGCACATGGCCTCGAGTTGTTTTGTTTTTAACACACTTCGTGAGCTGCTTTTAGCTCTTAGTATGCTATATTGCATACCCTCTATATATGTATACAGAGCCATAGGCGAAACTAGTTTGCAGCGAACAAACAAGGATGTACACAAAATTCCAAATTGGTTTATATAAGAAAGAGCGAAGAGAGATATCAATTTTAAACTGAAAAAAATATATGACTATAAATATATAGCTTTGACTATAAATATAAACTTTGACTATAAATATATAACGTTTATCATAAATTTTTTGAGCAGTACAAGCTAAAGGCACAGCAGGTTAAGCAGACATTGCAAATTCCCAAATAAAAAAAAAATATACACAATAGTCTAGACTGGAGTATACAAAAAAAAAAAATATAAAAATATGTTCTTGTAAAATAATATATATATATATATATATATATATATATATATATATATACAAGAACATATTTTTATATATTTTATATATATAAATATAATCTTCAAAATATAAATAAAAATAAATTCTTCGAAAAAATATATAAAAACATATTCTTCTAACAAAAAATATATACAAATATATTTTTCTAAAAAATATATAAATATATATTTTTCAAACAAAAATATAAAAATATATTCTTGCAAAAACTATTAAAAAATATATTCTTTTAAAAAATATATACAAATATATTTTTCTAAAAAATATATCAATATATATTATTCTAAAAAAATACATAAAATTAAATTCTTCTTCTAAAATATATACAAAAATATTCTTCTAAGAAACTCTAAAAAAATATAAAAATATATATTTTTATAAAAATCAATCAATTTTTCTAAAAAATATATAAAAATTATGTTATTCTAAAAAGTCTATATACGTGTATTCATAGCTCAGATATATTCTATATATTTTAGTTCAGAGCAAGTTTATCGGAAGCAAACGATAAAGTTAGCTTATTCACATTTCTGCTCTTATATATTCACTCTGATTCATATGCATATAAGCAAGTCTACACATATCTAAATTGGCAATATTTTATGCCTTTTGCCATTTGCGTTTGCAGATCAACTCTATAATTCGGGCGGCCGACAAATCAGTTTCGGCCGAAATAACTATTTTGGCCAACGTCACCGACAACCAGGCGCAATACCGTTGCGAGGCCTCGAACAGTGCCACCGAGATACCGCTCTTCGAGTCCACCACACTGAGTGTGCACTGTAAGTAGTCGTTGTTGTTACTCTTGTTGTTGTTGTTGTTGTTGCTTGCCCCAAGACACAGCGCTCACGCCATTATTATCCGCTGGCTGTGCTTACAGTTGCGCCAGAGACGGTAAAAATACGCATTGAACCGGAAGAGCTGAAACCTGGCATGGAGGCGACCATCATTTGTGACTCCAGCTCAAGCAATCCGCCGGCAAAGCTGTCCTGGTGGAAGGATGGCATATCCATTGAAGGTACGTACCATAAGCAGCGCACATTTTGGAAGTTTGCCCAGCCGCCAAGGCAAACGCAGAGGCAAAGGCAAAGGCAGGGCATGGCATGGACTTGGCGGCGCCGTTGTCAAAATGGGCAAGCGCCTGGCTACCCAAGCTGATGCTGATGCATTTTTTAAAGGCGTATCCACGACAACATCCGGTCTGGTTGCCAGCCAGCCAAGCCCAGCCCCGTCCAGCTCTGCGTTCAGTCAGCTCAGTCACTAAAATAAAATCACGCCCATTTTGTCTCTTTCATTGGCTCCTGCTGCTGCCGCTGTTGCTGCTGCTGGCTTTGCTTTGCAGGCATTAATAACACGTCCAAGCCAGGTCTCTGGGGCGGCACAGTCTCAACGCTCGAGTTCAGGCTAAACATCACCCAGGAAATGAACGGTGTGGTCTACACTTGCCAAAGCGCCAACGAGGCACTGCAGCGCAGCGTGCACGAGGCAATCAGCCTGAATGTCCTATGTAAGTACGAGTTTAGCTCATCTCGATCTACTAATTGAGCAATTAGACTCTGTCTGAATGCCAAAGCCCAACAAAATTGTGCTAACTGTAATTCTCAATTAAATATCTGCGCCAACTCAATGGACATGGAAATGGAAATGGAAATGGAAATGCAAATGTAAATGAAATCCAAATTGTAATTCAAATGGATGCACTTGATGCACACATAGATCCTCCCAAGTTTGTGCCGCCGCCGTCGTCCACATCGGTGGGCCTGGAGGGCGAGTCGTTGCAGGTGCCGCTGCAGGCGAACGCGAATCCAGCGCTAATTAGCTACACCTGGACTAAGAACGGCACGCCCATACCGCAGGACACCAGCGGCAGCGTCTCGGCCGGCGAGCATCGCATCTTTGCCGATGGCGCTGTGCTCAACTTCACAAAGCTGCACCGCGAGGATTCGGGCATCTACACCTGCACGGCGAGCAATTCGCAGGGCAAGGAAAGCATCAATATCACAGTCGTTGTGGAATGTAAGTGACCTAATCCAGCTGACTGGACTAGAAAATTCTTAAGCTGCTCTACCTTCCTCTCCCCATCTACCCCTCTCTTTACTCAAACTATAGACGGCACCACCATCAAGTCCGTCTCGGAGAACATTATTGTGAATCCCGGCGAGGATGCAATGCTGTCCTGCAGCGTTGAGGGCAAGCCGCTCGCCGAGGAGCACGTGAAGTGGGAGCGCGTAGGCTACGACATGAAGGCCAAGACCACGACTACGTTCACCAATGGCACCGCCTACCTGCACATCAAGAACGCCCAGCGCGAGGATGTGGGCAACTTTCGCTGCGTGGCCGACAATCATGTGGCCAATCCGACCAATCGGGACGTGCTGCTGATAGTCAAATGTGAGTGGAAACGAAGTTAAATATATTTTTGTATCTTTTGCAATGCTCAACTCCCTCGTTGCAGTTGCTCCCGAGATCGCCAAGTCGCCGACGCTGCTGCGTGCGGCGAGCGGTACGGGCGAGCGGGGGCGTTTGCCGTGCCGGGCGCAGGCGTCGCCCAAGCCGCAGTTTATTTGGCGCCAGGACGGCAAGGATCTGCCCATCAATCATACGTTCAAGTATGAGCTGGAGGAGCGCAAAATAGACTCGCTCACCTACGAGTCCTCGCTGATTGTCGAGAAGGTGGCGCCCGCCGACTACGGCGCCTACGAGTGTGTGGCGCGCAATGAGCTGGGCGAGGATGTCGAGACGGTGCGTCTGGACATTACCTCACCGCCGGAGCCGCCGCTCAGCCTTAATATACTGAATGTGACCCACGACACGGTCACCGTGGCCTGGACGCCAGGCTTCGATGGTGGCCTGAAGGCCTCCTACCGTATGCGCTATCGGTATGTACAAGCAGGGCCCACCTCCTGCCACTCCTCCCGCTCCTCCCACTCCTTCCACATGCATGTCGTGTGCTTGAAGTGCATTCCATTGCAATTACTGCGAATGTCACGTGCACTAATGAAATTGTCCCTCATGCGTTGGCTACGCAACCTCTCCAACTCTCTCCCTCTCTCACACACACTATATCCCTCTCTCTCTCCGTCTCTTTCTCTCGCTTGCAGCATGGCAGACCGCGAGCAGTATAAATATATCGACGGTCTGCCCAACAGCCACAAACTGACCATCGGCGGACTGCGCATGAATACGCTGTATCTGTTCTCGGTGATGGCATGGAACGATTTGGGCCAGAGCTCCTACCTGCCGGATTTGACGCGTGCCCAGACCAAAGGTAAGCCCTAAGGTATTCTCCACTCCAGTCGAGGCTCCACGCGTTTGTCCACTGATTGATTGATTTATGCGTGCACCGCCCTTTGGCATTTATGACCGGCGCTCGTTTGCCTGACAATGAAGTGAACACAGCGAGCGGCTAGGTCTATTTCCTCTAATAATTCACACCACCACCCCCTCGCACGCCACCTCTCGGTGTGTTTTCTTCACTCAATCAATGATCTCTCTTTCCTGCAACGCTGCGCTTAATTGGAATCGTATTATGGTGACAACGACAATGTCGACAACGCAACCTAAAACATGAATATACATTGGATATGCGCACCACCACCACCCGCCACCCGCCACCCGCCACTGACACCACTAACACCACCGACACCACCAGCAGAAGCGCCGCCACCCTCACAGCCGGCTTCGTCGCTGGGCGGCGGACCGCCAACCACCAGTCAGACACCGCTGGGTGGCACATCGGGCATGCTGCTCGTTGGCGTCGCAGCGGGCATTACGGTGGTGCTGCTCAACGTATTTGTCATCGGCTGTTGTCTTCACAAGCGCAACGAGAAGCGCCTGAAGCGAGGTACATCAGCAACATCATCATCCAGACTATGCTCTTGTTGTTGTTGTTGTTGCTTTTATATATATGAAATTGATTTTATGATTGACAGACTGAGTGATTGACAAGCAGCTGCACATACGTTTTAATCATATGATGAGCCCAGTAATTTAATTGTTTTAGAACGAATACGTTTTTTATGTATTGCAACTGACTAATTGATTGATTGATTGATCGATGTACTGACAATGTGCGCATTAGCTTATTAGTTAGAGCTGATCAATTGAGTGCTTTAACGTTGATGGCAATATAACGAAAATAATAGAAAATTCTAGATGCCTTTAAAACTGACTGAGTGATAGATTAAGTGATTGACTGATTGATATACATTATATAAATTGTACAGTATGAGCTAGATAATTGCATATTACACAGTTTGCAGGATTTTAAAAGCAATTCACTCAAATTCTGAAAATATTTTGTAAACTGATTGATTGTGGGATTGATTGAGCAGAGTGACTTCTTGAACACTTCACAGCCTAATTGATTGTGTGGTTGATTGACAATCAACGCCATGAGCTTAAAGAATTAAAGAAATTAAAGAATTTTCTATTCCCTGGGTACCCCTGGGTATTTATGGAATTTCTCAGCTTGCTGTTTGATTGACTGATTGATTGACAATCAACGCAAAATTTCACATTCGAGCTCAATATATACCTGATATATAGATTTAGAGCTGCTGGAAATGTAGTTAATCTTGAATCTTTAAGCTGGTTGATCGCTTGGCCAATTAAATGAGCCCAATCAAGTAGAACCCTTTCTAGATTGAACGATAGATACCTGAAAATCCCTTTCGGCTATGCAAAAACCGAAATTGAAATTGAATTGAGCAGAGTACTCGATAGTTGTGGCAGTAACTCGCAGATGGCTATAATTTAATTTCCATTTTTGAACTGAATACAGTTTCGCTGTGCCGTTGCCCGTGCCGGTGCCCGTGCTGCTCTACGGTTGGCGTTTCTACGTGCCGTTGCGGTCAGCGTCGGACGGCGCTAATTTCATTTGGCCCCGTCACATGCTGGAGCTGCGTTTCCGCGTGCGCGCCATTGTGACTCCATGGCTACGTGATTTGCGTCACTTTTGCATGGGTTCCTTAACCGTACCCAGAGTAACAGGCGGCTCTGGCCTGGAAGTAGAGCGCAACCACACAACCGACCCACTCCCCACTCGCACCACCCCGTACCATACCATTTGCCCCCGAAGCGCTGCTGCGTCATTTTTATTACAATTTCTCATTTCAATTTTTGTTCATTTCGAATTTATTTATTGTTTTATTTTTACAAGCATATTTTCTGTTATTATTATTTATTATTTTTGTTTTTTTCTGTGTTTATGTTTTCATGGTCTCGTTTGGCTGGCTTTGGTTTATTTTGACTTGCTGTCGCGACATTTTCATGGACCAGGAATTGAAATGATGCCAGCCGTGTTAACGGAGGACTCCAGCAATACGCCGAACCTGCTCATCATTGCCATCTCTCTGGCCGCATTCGGATTTCTGCTGGTCAATGCGGCGCTGGTTGCCTGGTTCTTTGTGCATCAGCGGCGCAAAAAAGGTTCGTTGACATGTTTCAGCATGTTTGAGTTTCGATTTATATTTATTTGGATTTTGTTCTGTTATACTTGTATTTATTTATTTACTTGCATTTGTTTGTTGTTGTCTGAGAGCGTTGCCAATGTAAATTCAACTCTTTGAATTCATGAAATGCCAGAGATATGGCTGCTTATCCTTCGAGCTTGAAGTTGAAGTGTGGCGGCATCCAACAGCCACTTCCGTGACACCATAGGAAGTAAACGCGTTGTGCAACATCCGCTGCTCCCAGTGGAACATGAACGTGGCCTGTTCACTTTATGATGCTCACTAAACAATTTCCTGCATCTACATAGATGATATATACAGAGAGAGAGAGAGAGAGAGAGAGAGAGAGAGAGAGCGAGAAATGGGGAGAGTGAGAGGCAGGCAGGCTGAAGTAGATAGAGATAGATAGTTAGATAGTCAAAGGTGGCTAGCGTATAAATGGGTCGGGATATCGTATATGCGCTTCTTGTAATTTCCGCGAGAAAACCAAAACTCGAGCGTGGCCAGAGGAAGCCAGCGAGCCAGCCAAGCCAAGTCAAGTCAAAGGGCAACAAAAAGAAAATAAGGAAAGCGAAAAACAAACCGCTCTGAGCAGTCAACAAGAATATAATGATGACAGAAAATAATGATGCATCCTGGCAGCGGACAGCAGCCAGCAGAGAGCGCACGACCCCGAGGTCCATGCCAAGTGCAACTGTTTATTGAACAACGACGTTGGCAGCCACCTCGTCCGGTTGCCCCCATTACCACCAGTTGGCCCCCTCTCTCCACCTAGCCACAGCCCATTCCATCGCATCGCATCCCATTTGGCCGTTGGCGAAGACAAATGTGCATCGTTTTCTTAGCTGAACGCACAATCTTTCGGAAATCAGATTGCTCTAGTCCATTCCCAGGCAAGCAGGAGCAAGCAGGACAGTCCGAGAGCGGATAGAGAGAGAGAGAGCATGGAGCACGTGTTGGAAGTCCTGCGTCGCCTTGGCTGCCTGCCGCTCAATTTGCAGCTAAAGCTGCAGATTGTTTATTAATATGGAATTATATTTCAACAGGCCAAGCGAACGAAATATAAATATGACTCCCGACAGACCCGCAGACAAATAGAGAGTCGGACAAACTAGCGGACGGAGAGACAGACCTAACGACCTATCGACCCAATCGACTATGGAGCATCGAGAGAAATGCAGACATTTCTTGGCAAGTCAGGTCTCAAAGACAAACCAAGCCGGAACGTGCAGAAAGTGTTGAGCTGAGGGAGGCGCACAATTTTGCCAAAAGCGCCGCAAAAATTTCGAGTTGGCCAAAGCATGAGCCGAACGTTTGGCCAGGCGTGCTAACCAAATTATTTTTCATTGAGCCAAATTTAGTGGTTTAACACGCAGAGCGCTCCAAAGCAGCAGCAGGAGCAGTAGGAGCAGCAGGAGCAGTAGGAGCAGCAGGAGCAGCAGCAGGAGCATCTTCTCAATCAGACTCAAGTCCCAGTGCAACGTAGCCAAATTATGCATACGCATTTGTACGTGAGCTCCCCTAAGACGCGGCATTCCAACTGCCAGATGTCCTTCGCAACAGTTTGTACAACTGTGCTGAGTCTTTTTCCCTGCCCACTCTCTCTCTCTCCCTCTCTCTCTCTCTCTCACACACAGTTGTACTGTATGCTCATATACTTTTGGCAAACATTTGACTTATGAGTTGACTTTTTGCCCGCCAGCTTTTGACTTTTGACGGTCTAATAGGTCGCCTTGTTTATCAGCATATGAATACAAAGAGCCAAGGCATAGAAGACGACTTCTTTTGCAAACTTGGCAAAGTCTTTGCCTAACTGTGTGTGTGTGTGAAATTGCTAACTAGCTAATTAACTGTTTGACTGATTGATCATCACAATAAGATTCTTAATTAGCTGAAAATAGAAGTGATAATTAAAGTTAATGAATAATGAATGAATAGTTGAAGGAACTTCAGAGGGATCAAAGGTTTCTCTACAAAGTAGAGTGGAACTTATAGAAAATTTTGATTGACTGATTGATGAGTAAAGCATCATCAAAACACTCGATGCTAAAGACTATCGTTGAAAATTATTTGAAGTTTATAATCCTTAGAAAGTACGGATTGACTGATTGTCTGATTGATTCATCGATATGCTAAAATCTATTGAGGTTTATTCAATACCCAAAGTCAAAATTTATTGACTGTTTAATCGATCAATTGATCGATTGTTTGATTATCTGATGTCTTGAAAATTTATTGAAGCTAATCAAATGGACAAGGGGAAAGGGAATAGTCAATTCCAAGGAATTTTAAATTTTGATCAATTTATAGACTAATTGATGAACCAAACGTTCATCTAAACTCTCAATATTAGAAAGCTGCCTGGCTGATTGATAATTAATTGAGGCCTATGTACAAAATATACCTACGCGTAATTCCAGGAATATCCCGACTGGTTAGTCAATTGATTAATTAAAAGAAATTCAAATTCGAGAAATTCTCATAAATTGACATTTGATACCCGCTTTTATGCTAATATAATTATGATTATTCTCCAATTCATAAAGTTGATTAAGGAAAGTATAAACTCCTTGAAATGGTCAAAAAGAAGAAAAGAAAGAAAAAGCGCCGCCAGCTCTCGTTCAGCAGGATCTGGCGCTGTATCCTTTGTTTGCATCCTCGAATTCGGTCTGTGTGAAATGTAGGCCAAGATTTTTTGACATTATGAGCGCGCGGCACTCTCTAGCGGAGCATGAACTACAGCCGCAGGACATAAATAAGATATTTTTCTTAGAAATTCAGCTTGCTTTATTATACGGATACGGAAACGGGTTGCCTGTGCTTGGCTAGAGTTGGGCTTGACTGGGCTGAGGCTGAAGCTGGGCTGAGGCTGGGCTCTTACCGAGTAGTACTGGCAATTTCTCTCTTATTTCCAGTGCACAGTTATGTTTGAACAAATGACGCGCTTGCATATGGATGCCAGCGCCGCCCACCCACCGAATACCCTGCACAAAAGAAATTCATATTTCAAGTCTTAACAGCCGCTTGTTACAAGAACTGTTAAGCGAGCCAGAAAGCTGCTGCTACTCCTGCTGCTCCTGCTACTCATACTACTCCTGCTGCTGCTGCTTTCAAGTAAAGTAAAAAATAAAAACTGTCTACCCCAACAACATTTTTATGACAATGTTCGGCTACCCCGCCGCCCTCGCCTGCCTTCCATAAGCCGATAACTGACAATGCCCAAAAGCATTTTTTCTTCTATTTCTTTCTTTTTTTTTTTTTTTGGCCATAAAGGAGTTGTCAGGGAAACTGGTGCGTCGGCCAGGATGACAGCGGTCGGCAGGCAGAGGAGGACGAGGAGGAGGAGAGGGAGGAGTGGGGCAGAGTGGACAGCTTTTAGCCTGAAGATAACTCTGCATATTTCAATGTTTTCGCTAGCGAAACTTGACTTGTGGACTGCCTGCCTGACTGCCTCCTGCTCGACTCCTGCTTGCCTGACTGCCTCCTGCTCGACTGCTGTTTGTTTGTTGTGCTCGGCCCTTGGATATGCATTTTTAATGTGCATTTGCGCTTTTGTGTCCAAATGCCGCATGACGGAAAAGAAATTCATCCGCCTGAAACCAAAATATGAACCCGAAAAACCCAAACTCCCGACCATAGCCACGAGAGGAAGTCATCCGCACGGAGATACTAGCTAAGAAGATTTCGCTGTTGCCCGATAAACTATGCCAAAAGTCTGCGGTTGGCAGCTGGTCGGCGGTTCGGCTAGGTCATTGTACTCCAGTGGACATTGGCAGTGCCACACACACACACACACAGAGAGAGTGAGAGACAGAGAGAGAGATACACACTCATATATCATTCTCATATGAGTTTTGTGCAGAATGCCATTTCTAATGTTTATTGGCTTTCGACTGGGCTTTAGCTATAAAGTGTGCGTAGGGGAAGGGGAAGGGGAAGAGAGAGAGAGAGAGAAAGCAAAAGCCTAGGCCACAGAGTTGCACAGAGTGGAAATTACAAGACTCGCATGGGCTTACGTTAATTTGAGACTGGCAACGGCATAGTCAATGATGAAAATTCCAAAAACCAATGACAAATGGACAGCTGAGAAAGAGCGAGAGAGAGAGAGAGAGAGAGAGAGAGAGGAGGTGAAAAGTGGATGCGACACCAGTCAAAAGTTTTGTGCCAACGTTGCGTTTGCCAGTGGCGATAAGCGTGAACTCTCTACTCACTGTTCTCGGCTCTCGCCTCTCGTTCCTCGGCTCTTGGGTTGCCGCCCCCTCCTCAATATAAGCGAAAAACCGCTTGACTTTGACACTCTTTAAACAATTGACTATGGACCCCGACTGCGAACGGGCCATCGCATCTGTTGAGATAAGCGCACAGGCTGTCAAACAATTCGGCGCCATCGCCGCTGTCCAAAACTTTCCAAGTTTCCTGCTTGCCACAGATATCTGCCACATACTACATGCCACATCTTTTTCGCTGAGACTTAAATACATTTTGCTATTTGCAATATTTGCGCCAAGTGGCATGCTGCTACTCGACAGCTATATATACCCTGTAAATGGGAATAAGCTATAGTGGAAGATGGATACGGTACTATTTAAAGTGTTTGAGAAGAGGAGAGGAAAATTGAAGTAAAGGAAGCTAATTGAAAAAAGTGGTAAAAAAGTGAGAAAATAAATTTGAAGCAAATATAATATAAAGAAAAAAAGAAAATGGAATAGAGATAAATGAAAAGTGAGGAAATTATATGAGCAGGAAATATAATATAAAGGAAAAGCAAATTGAATAGAGAGAATAGAAATATAATATAAAGAAATATAATATAAAGAAATATAATATAAAGAAAGAAGTGAAATGGAATGAAATAAAGAGAGAAGATTCCATGTTCTTAGAGGAGAAGGTACGATAGACAATATAAGTGTAGATAGATACAAGAAATCAAAGTAAGTATAGTGGGAGAGAAAAAAAAACAGACAAAATGTAACGAAACGAAACGAAATGCAACGAAACGAAAAAGGAAAATGAAAATAGAAGAAGAAGACGAAAGAATAGAGTAAGCAAAAACTAAGTAAAGAGAGACCACGAAACACCAGAGAAGAAAGAAAAGATGAGAAAAGACAGATGAGAAAAGAAGACATAGAAGCCATCCATACCAATCTCCGGAATAATACAGAAGTCACAAAGTCTCTCAGCTAAACATCTGCCATTCAATGTATTTGTGCTAACTCGTCTCCATTTTCTCTCACTCTCGCTCAACTGCAGCGCCCTCAGCTTATCACTCCCTATCAATCGATTATAGGGTATAGCAACTACACAGTTTGTCAATAAGTTTGCTCAACACTTGTGATTTCGAACAGAAGCTTTACTCACACACACGCACACACACACACGCCCACATAACTGTGAGAAGTCAAAGAATAACTGTCGCTTATATTTTCATCTCTCTTTTTTTTTGGTCCTGCTCTACCAGCAGCTCCGCAGATTAAGAGAAAAACCTTCAAAGCAGACGTCCATGTCAACGGCCACGTCATTAACTGACCTGACGACCGCAAAAGCTGTCTAAGCCGTGTCATGCTCGTGTATGCATGTGTGTATGTATATACATATATCATATACATATATATATATCTTTATAGGAAGCAAAAAAAAAACCTTCGCTTGCTGTCCAGATTTTTCGGTCAGTCGTGGCATAAGTGCAAAATTTGTAATCTCTGTGTCGTTGCAGTCCTTGCTGTGTGTGTGTGTGTGTGTGGGCTCTACAGTACAGTGGAACCACCACATCAACAACAACAACTGCTGGCACTGGATTATTAGACGAGGCAAGGCTTTGTCAACGCTAAGCCCGCCAGCTAACCTTTAATTCCATCTGTCTACATATAGATGGACCCTCCACTTGCTCCACATAGAGAAATGTTGAGCTTCGGCATTCGACGTTCGATGTGTGTGTGTGTATTTATGACTTGTACATTGATTTCTAATGGACTCCATTAGATAAATTTGTACCTGACTTTGAAAATGGAATTTATATTGGTTCTATAGAGCTCTCTCTCCCCCTCTCCCTCTCTCTATCTCGCGCTCTCTCTCTAGCTCTAGTTCTCGCCTGAATTGCCATCAGACTCTGAGTATATATTCATCAAAATAATTTCCAGGGTATTTCACACATCAACATCTGTACGCACCACACATTCAGTTTCAGTTAAAGTTAATTGTGGTTTGTATTTTTGTTGTTGTTGGTTTTTATTATTTTTTATTGTTGCCGCCACGTGTCATCATAAATAAAGTATGTTAAAATGGCTGGCAAAGCAAAATATTTGTAATTCACTAAACTATAAATGCAATCGGATAGTTGAAAGCGAAATGCGCGAGCCGCCATGTGGAGTTGACTGTGGAGCCCTCTGACCTCTGACCCCGGGCCACATGTTTTATTTACAATAAATACGCAAAGGTGTCGACGCACAACAGTCAACTGGGATATGAACCGCAATTGACGGCGCGCAATTAAATGTAATTTACATTTTGTAATTCTGTTCGAGGTAGAAGAAGAAAGAACAGAATAAAAAATTACAAAAAAAAAAAAAAAAACTTTAATAAGCACATACAAAATCATATGAAAGGAAAACATAAAAATATTTTTCAGGCAAGGGCAATCAATAGTAATAACAATCAAAAGAAAGAAAATATGTGAAAAGAAAGGAGACACAAACAGGAAAAGAAGAGAGAAGAACAGAGGAAATATATGAAAGGGAACGAAAAACGAAGAAAAAGAGTAGAGAGAAGCCAGAAAAATACAAGTAAAATAGAGAAATGATAGAAAAATACAAAGCAAAACAAATAATAAAAGAGAGAGTATAAAAGAAAATAAGAAAAGGAGAGAGGTATACAAGATAGAATAGCATAAAGGAATACAGAAAATACAAGAGATAAGACAACACAGACAATCAGAAGAAGAGGAAACGAAAGAAAGAAAGAGATAGCACAACAGATAAACAAAGATATAAAATTATAGATGATTTAGTATAAGTAAAAACATGAGATGTTATCAATCTACAAAAGGCTTCACCTTTTCACGTTTGCTTGATCAAAGAACAGAGCTCTGACTGCTCAATCATCTACAAAAGCAACAACAACACTTGCAATATATTATTAAATAACAATTTGTATATAAGTATGTACATTAATATAAAATCTCACCTATATATATATATTCGAATATATTCTTACATAATTTTTCCAATATTTTCTTTTTTGTTTTTCCCAACATGTAACCTGAACACCTGAACCTGCTTTCGCTTATGGATAAATGAAAACAACAAATGCACTCAACGCACACTTAACGTCACACACACACACACACACGCACATTGACTTTGTATAAAACACGTGTTAACCATGTGGCGCGGTCATTTTGTCGTTGCCATTTGTGAAAATGTGCCATGAATCATTTAATGGCATTTTATATACAAATTTAATTGCATTTCCACTCTGGCCCCCCCACTCTGGCCGCCCCACTCTACCACCACTCGCGCCTCGTCACGCATCGCCAAAAACTGAACATCGAATGCATTGATTTTAACCCTTGACCACGGCCAACAAAATCCACGTTGGCTACGCTGCGCCAAAATGTGAATAATTTAACGCAATGCACGGCCCGTACCGGCTGGACCCACTGGAATCCACCCCAATGCTCAAACCCCACATCCATTCATTTCCATTGCCCCCAACCCCCCACTCGCCCCGCCCTTGCCACATTTATTTCGGCCGCCGCTGGCGCAACATTTGCTTGCGCTGCACTTTGACAATCTTTGCTATTTGCATTTGATTTGCATTGCCTGAAACTATGCCCACTGGCATTGCCACTGTCACTACCGTGACCGTCACCACCACCACCACCACCACCACCATCACCGCCACGACCACGCCCCTGACATTTACAACAAACACCCGCTATATCCGGATAACTCGCACTACCCATCTCCCCCACCCTCTCTCATCTCATTCTGTTTCTCTTCATGCTGCATCCTCCCGTCCGTGCGGTGTTCCAAATGACTGGCGCACTGCGCACCACCGCCCGCACCACCGCCCAATCAATTTTCGGCATGTCACTGCCAATTACACCTTTTCAATATTTGCGCCGCATACTTTCTACCCTACCTATGCCCACATATACTTTTTCTCCTATATTTTTTTTTTTACTGCGCTGAATGTGTCTGTGTCCTCTGACATGCTGTTGTCCTCTCCCCACTCCCTCTCTTACTCTGTCTGGATGTGGCGCATCCAGTGGCGGAAACTACAAATCAACCAGGCAAAACGGCGACCATCGAAATGTACGCGCCCAGCTCGTACAATGACACCGTCACCGGCGAGACGCTGTCCAGCGTTTCGGAGAAGAGCGAGTCCTACTCCAATGAGGGCAGTCAACCGGAATATATTGTGAGTATGCCGCCACTTTTTAGCCCGGCTATAATGCCTTTTTTTTTCTGCTCTGCTCTGTTCTACATGAATATGCAATTTGTGAACGCGATTGAGTACAATGGGACCCAAAAAAAAAAAAAAAAAAAAAAAATACTGAAAAAATTGTCTGCTCGGAGCAGAGAAAAAAGAATATGATACGCCCATCTTAAGTTATTGCCAGTCGCTTGAAAATTACAACTCTCAAGGCCGGAACTGGGAATTGGCTGGGGTAGCGAACATGTTTGACATCGAGGTCGCCGGAACTGCCAGCCAGGAGGCGGGCAAACCGGCTGGCAAACGAGCCGGAGGCAGGGGCAGGGGCAGGGGCAGGGGCAGGAGAAGGCCTTCAGCCGGATGCTGGCAACCGGCAACTCGGCAGCCGGCATCTAAGACGTTGTGATTAATTACGCTCCGCTCGTGCTGATAATGATGAGCCACGGCATCGTCCTCCGTATTGGGCCGCGTAACCAAAACGAATTCCGAGCGCATTACGAGCCGAGCGTAGGCAAACAAACAAATCGCTTCAAATTATGAAAATCATTTATTATGCGCGTAATCTGCACTTGCCACAAAAACTGCCGCCTAATGTTGACTGTTAACTGTAAAACGTCATTTTGACGCCGCCCCCCTCCCCCCTTCCCTGGCCGCGGGGCATGCCATAAATCAATGTTGCGTATACGCAGCGTGCGACGCCCTCGACGAAGGTGTCGCGCGCTGTCAATTCAACTTTCAACGCCTTCCGCAAACGAAAAAAAAAGAAGAAGAAAAAACAAAAAAAAAAAAAAACGAAAAAACAGAAGCTTAAGTAGAGAGTAATTACGAAAACACGAAGCACTTCACAAACAGAACAGCGACGTGGGCGGCAAGTTCTCAGCTTTTACATGCATTGCATTTATACTGACTGTTTGCCCACTTTCTATCTCTCATACTCTCTCTCTCTCTCTTTCTCTCTCTCTCTCTTTCTCTCTTAGGACGAGGCACGCAAGAAGGCGGCATCGACATATCTGGTTGAGAGCACGGACATGCCACCGCCCAGATACCAAAAGGATGGCACACTGCCAGCATTATATCCAAATAATATGGGTAAGTCAAGATCTAGCTGACCAGATAACAGATAATGAATGTGCAGGCTGCAGAAAAAAATTTTCAGTGGGTAGTGCTCGACTGGCAGTTATCCTGCAACTGTAGATTGTTAATGCTGAAATTATTATTTTTTTTTTTTATTTACGTTTTTATGTATTATTATTATTTTTATTTATTATTTACTATTAATTATTAATTATTTATTATTTATTATTTATTATTTATTATTTATTATTTATTATTTATTATTTATTATTTATTATTTATTATTTATTATTTATTATTTATTATTTATTATTTATTATTTATTATTTATTATTTATTATTTATTATTTATTATTTATTATTTATTATTTATTATTTATTATTTATTATTTATTATTTATTATTTATTATTTATTATTTATTATTTATTATTTATTATTTATTATTTATTATTTATTATTTATTATTTATTATTTATTATTTATTCATTATTTATTTTTTAATATATTTTAAATATTTAATATTAAAATTATAGCTAGTTGAGACAAAAAGACAGCAGTTGGAGTTATTATAAAATAATATACCTAGCCCTCCACATAAATTTAGATCATTATGCAATTTTCCAAGCGTAATTGTGACATTAAAATGTGAACGCTCACGATCTGTTCATGATATCGCTCTGAGCAGGAGGCTTCGGGATTTTTTCGGTTTTGATCTCGGTTGAGCGCTATTCGTGTGAACATCTTTCAGAGAGCGATACGATTGTTTAACGAACACAAACCTCGCACACATACCAATACAATCACGAGCTCAACCAAAAGGTCGGGGGATATCCAAAACGGAACGAAACGGAATGGCTGCTCTCTGAGTGAAAAGACACAAGAAATGATGAAAGAGAAGGAAGGGGAGCAGAATACAAATGGAAAAGTCTCTGTCTCATTTTCATTCCATTCCATTCAGTCTGTCTGTTCCATTCAGGTCTCTAGCCATATCAGTTTACAAGAACTACAAACGAGCCCAGATCGAATCAGCTCGTCATTCTCTTTCAATACACTCGTTCGCCTTCTTCTATCAATGAGAGACATTCAAAAAAATAAACAAGCTACCCGTCATTGCCGTGCCCAGGGTATAAAAGCGAAACTAGAGCGAGCCAGAGCAGAGCACATAAAAAGCATTTTAGATAATTAACTTTTGGATGCGGAAAAAAACCCCAAAATGTAGAATCAAATGAAAAGAACAAAAAGCCCCGAACCAAGTTGAGAGTTGCACGCGCTGTCAGCGCACGTCAAGGCAAAGTCCTTGCTGCAGTTGCAACAGCAACAGCCAAGGCAAAGGCAAAGGCAACTGCAATTGCAACTGCAGCTGCAGCTGGAATTGCAATTGCAGTTGTTGCCTGATTTGATGGCAATGATTGCAATCAGAGCTAAAAATAAAAGCGATGTAAAAACGGATATCGGCCAGAGAGAGATGCGCTGAGCAACTAAGTGCGCGAGCGCCCGATGAAAATTCAATTTGAGTGTGCAACATCTCCATCTTAATTGTAATTGAGCAGCAAAGTTTTTGCCAGTCTTGATTTTCAATTGACTCATGAGAGGGTCTGTCCGTGTGTGTGTGCTTCTGTCTTTGTGTGTGTGTGTGTGTGTGTGTGTGTGTGTGTGTGATTGTGTGTGTGTGTGTGTGTGTGTGTGTGTGTGTGTGTGTGTGTTTGACCACATCCTCATTCTGAGGCAGTCGCCAGCTAGCAGAAGCAGGAGATGGGGCAGGAGCAGGAGCAGGAGCAGAAGCTGGAGCTGGAGCACTAGCAACCAAATCACGTTTCGGCGCTGTGCTAATTTAAGAGTGCGTCAGAATTTAAGAATATCGTTCATCAAGCCGCATGAAAATGAAAAAATAATAAAACTCAATGATAGACAGAGAGAAGAGAAGAGATGGAGTGGGCGTGCGAGTAGGAGAGAGTGAGAGGGAGAGAGGGAGAGGGCAAGAGCCAAAGTAGAAGACGCAAGAAAAAACAATGGTCGTATTATAATAACATTTCCGACTCGAAAGGCGACGCAGACGGCGACGTAGACTCAGACTAAGATGGAGACTCAGACCAAGACGGAGACGGAGACGGAGACGGAGACGGAGACGGAGACGGAGACCGACCCGGAGACATTGCTGAAAGCATCTCGCGCAACTGCATTTCAAATGCAAAGCGCAAAAATAATAAAAATACATTAGCTGCAAACTTTTGCTTTTGTTTTTCTCTCTCTCTCTCTCTGCATTTTGCCACTCCCCTCTCAGCCTCGTGTGCCCCGCCACTGTCGCGCTTCTCTGCTCGCTGCTGAATATCAAAAATACAATTACCTTATGTCAACGAATTTCGACAACTGAAGGCGCCAAGTGGAGCATACTTCAAAAGTGTCAGCAGCAACAACAACAACAAAAACAACAACAGCAACAACATCAAGAAGAATACGAAAAAATATGTTATTAGCATGCACTAGACGAATGCTAGATACACTTACCAACATAGAAGTATGATGGGATGTTTAATAAATGTGTGAAATTATATGGAAGAAGTTAAATTCTAGATCTGATCAGCTGTTTGTTTATAGGATATATATAGATATGATATTCTTGTCATATCCATGGATTGACCAAATAAGAGTATTGGTATCGCTATAATTGAGCAGCTGCTTAAGTTATCGATAACATTGAAATTGAGCTATAATGGACAGATTTTTCAAAGAGGTCTTAGGACCAACATGAGAGTGAATCCTAAATTACTAATAGTTACCTATATTATATAGTGATATATCATATACTAAAGCCGAAGACGCCAGTTGTCATATTAGCTCTAATCTCCAAGAAATAAATAAGTAAGTTCGATTCAGATGCGATTTAGCTATAATATTCGAAATTCCATATCATAGAATTATTTAACTTAACCAAAAAATAAAGCATATTTAATATCGTAGCCTGCCTAGGTTTTGCCAAAATAAATATACCATTTGGCAGTGTATGGCAAGAGCAAAAACATTTGATAGCGTTTGACGCTGCGAGACAAGGACTTGCCACAGATAAACTCAGATGGAGATGGAGCTGGAGCTGGCGCTGGAGAAGGAGTCTCGGCTACAGTGCGCGTAATTATGTATGCGACTGCGTGGTATAAAATAAAAAGAAAGAAAACAAAAATGAAAGAAAATAAACGAAAGAACAACAAGAAAAACCGCACAAAAACACGAACACGGAACGCGCTCACAAAAGACAGGCGAGAGGAACGAATGAAAGGAAAGCAAGCAGAGAGAGAGGGGAAGAGAAAGAGAGAGAGAGAACGAAAAAAATGTGAAACAAAAAATGGCTCGTGGCATAAAAATTAAAATGCTTGCCGGAAGCTGAAGCTCAAACAAGAGCCGTAAGCATGCGGAGTGAGGAGTGGAGGGGGACGGCAGATGGTAGTCAGCATACACATACACATGTGCATGAAAACACACACATGCAGGCATTTGCACAACTGTCTTGTTGTTAGTTGTTGCCACCTGCTGCTGCCTCAATTGAGATCAAATAATAGATGAGCAACAGCAACAGCAACAGCAGCAGAAGCAACAACAACAAAACAAGCTAGCTTTGTCGCCTACACCCAACCCAGACCCGCCCTCTCCCCCTTTGCCTCCCCCAGCTGATGGCCATTGCATTTAAGCCAAAAAGCAAACTGTGAAGCGCATTTTTAATGAGATACCATTGAAAGCGCCACCCTGTTAATGAGCAAGCCGCACGAAACGGATAGCCCAGCCCGGTGCGCGCGCCATCTGCGGGCGATTTGCCGAACTACAAATGTGCAAATATGCGACAGCAAACAGTAAATGAACATGATGAAGGGGAAGAGCGAAGAAGAAAAAGAAGAAGAAGAAGCAACAAACATTAAATGAAAAGCCAAGTTCTGTGCAATTTCCATAGACTTGACTTGGTCAGCTTCAAGCGAAACAGACAGAATTTTGATATTCTCGTATACCCTTGTTATAGGGGGGAGTATTTACTGCGTTATATACCCTTGCTAATGATAAGGAGTAAGAATTATTATCCACCTGTTTTAAGTTTTGTTGCTAGAAAATCGATATGGAAACAGGATATTTGGCTATTCAATCTAAGCATCTACTAGGCTATTTAATATAACCAGCTACTTAAATTTTATTGCAAAAGTATACAGGATGGTGCATTCGACGGGTCCATCTGACAACTCTATATCTTTTCACGAACTCAAGGCAACCATTTCAGAGATTAAATACCGTTTTTTTTTTCATGCAAAAAAAGGCCTTTGGTTTTAAAATTCATTTCACAGCCTTTACTCTAAATAAACGCCATCTACAGTGGATTATTGGTACTACAAATGTGCAAATACACGAAAAATAATTGGAAGCAGCTGAAAATAAACATTCAATGGAAACGTTGTTCCAGTTGCGTAGGTTTTTGCCCTGCTCCAGATTAAGTAGAGAATTTGAGTGATATTTTTGTTAATATACTCTATATATGAATATCATACTCATATCATATATAATTTATTGCCCAGTATGTGAGACTTTTCCGCCTGTTAATCGTAATATTCGCTTCGAACAGTTTACAAAATATTATGTTCCCCTCATTTTCATTGCTCAATGTACATATATACATATATATAGGTATGTATAGTGCTGTTCATATAAATAGTATATATACATATACAATACATATCTATATATATAGAATCAATCGCAATACCTTGTATTTCCTCATTAACTATGCACAATACACTTTCGACCAAATAATTGCCTTTCAGCAAGGCTATTAATATGAAATGAGTGCTGCTTGTTGATAAATGTCTCTGTGTGTGTGTGTGTGTTTCTCTCTATCTGTGTGCTACATATGTGTTGCATGCGTGGCATGCATAGTTAGTTCGTTGCAAGTATCTGGCCAATTATGTGCATTACATATGCACAAAAGTGAACTTCTGTTTCTGCTTCTGCTTCTGCTGCTTCTTCTTCGACTTGTTGTTCTTCTGCTTTTGCTTTTTTGTAGCTGCTCTGATTTTGATTTAGCTGTAACTGGCAACTGGCAATTGGTTAGTGCGGTTTCAGCTGCTGTTGCTCTTGCCGCTGCCGCTGCCGCTGCTGCTGATCGAAAAATCAATAATTCATGAGCACAGCCCCGATGCTGCGAGCTCCTTTGAAGGTGCTACTACAGGCTACTACCAGCAACACCACCACCCACTTCCGCCCTCACCCCCACCCGCACCTAGTCAAGGCAGTAATACACTTTGTATTACACACGCATACACAATACGCATATGCAAAGTAAACAAGCCACAAAATGAACATGGGAGCCACGTAAGCAGCTCAGCTACAGCCATGGCCTCCCTCTCTCTCTCTCTCTCTTTCTCTCTCTCCCGCTCTCTCTCTCTCTCTCTGTCTCTGTTGCACAGTTTTTCGTTTCCTCTGTGGGGCGTCTTCGATTTGTCTGCTTGTTTGGCAATGCCACAGCCCGCAGCCTGCTCAAGTTTCTTAACAAAATTATTGTTGCCTACATTTGAGCGCACGCTGGAATTTCAGCCAAAATAGGTGTGTGTAGCTGTGTGGGTGTGCGTGTGTATGTGTGTCTTGTTGTCTAAGTCTATTTTACAAAATTACAAATTTGTTACGTTTGTGGCTTTCACGCCTTCACGAATGACAGCCAAATTTGAAGTGGTTAAAGCTTTGCCCTGAGTATGTCTGGGCTTGTGTGAGAGTGTGCGTGTATCTGTGTGCGTGCGTGTGTGTGTGTGTGTGTGTGTGTGTGTTAACAGCTAACTTGTCTTATCATAAGTAGAGGCCATAAATAGCCAGCAATGGCAGAGCTTGTATGGGTCTAGCCAGTGATTTGCCCAGTTGAACTTATCAGAGCAACACCTGAGTCTCTTATCACCTGCGAGTGCGGCTGCAGCTGCAATTAATGGTTTTCGTTTTATGCACTTCCAAACGTTTGCACAGCAAATGAACCAGAAAGCAGCAAAATGTTGCACCTACGTGAAAACGCAAACGCATGTCTAAATGGGCAACGATGGGGAGCAGGAGCAGCAGCAGCAGCAGGAGACTAGAGACAAGAGACAGGGGAATTGCAATGCAATTCGAATGTTGAATGGAGACTACGTGTGCATTTACACAGCTCAATGTGTAGTGAGAGAGTGTGTGTGTGTGTGTGGGTGTGTGTGTGTGTGTGTCTTCTACCGAAAAGTCTTTGCCATTTGCTTGGCTTGCCTTGACTGTTACTCTTCTCCTCGCCCTCTTTGCTTTTTTTCACTCTTCGTTGCAAATGCGGCTATAAATGTGTCATTTGCAGCAAACAAATTGCATTTGTGCTGCAGTTCATCTGCGGTTGCGCTTGTGCGCTACGTGCAACAGCACGAACTAAATGCATAATACTCGTTTATGGTCTCAAAACCGCTGAATTTATACAAATATCGATAGTTTCGACGCTGCCAAGCCACAATTTATATAATTTATAGATGCATATCTCTGCTCAGAGTGGATGGCATGCGAAAACTTGTTGAAGCGGACGGTAAAAGTGAAGGAAATAAAAGTAACTATATATATATATATATATATATGATTTTTAACTTTAAAATGAATATTTAGAACATTGCGAATAAACCATAGAATAGATCAAGAATGAAACAGTCCATGAAAGAAAAGTTTCTCAACTCATTAGAAGATTAACTAATACACCCCAAACCCAAATTGAAGGAGCATAAGAACTCAGCTCTTGTCTAGAAGTAACATAATTGTAAATTACATGCAACCTCTGAACTATTCACACATAACTAATTAAATCTCTCCCTCTCTCTCTCTCTCTCTCTGCTTACAGCCAATGCCTGCACATTGCCACATCCGCGGCACAATAATGGCCATGCCACATCCATTGCCGCTGGCCATATGACGCGCGACGATCAGATGCTCATCAGCAAGGGCGTCTATATTCCGTCCCCATCGCCAGCACCGCCGCCGGACGGCTCCTATTACAATATGAACAGCGAACGATATCTATCGTATCCACCAATGGTAAGTGCATGCAAAAGCGTTTAGTTTCTTATCTGCAATTCTGTTGCCATATCACGCCTGGTCGCTTCCTTAAGACTCGACGGGATTAAATTCAGCTGCAGCAGTAGCTGAAGCTGGGCTGCTACTCCTGCTGCTGCTCCTACTGCTCCCGCTGCTGCTGCCACGTTAATTGCCCACCCAGATCCGTAATATTGTTCCTTTTAGCGCTTATGGCTAGTCACGGCCATGGATTAGTTCGCGCAATTAGTTGCAGTTTTATGCACGTTTCCCAGCTAAAACACACACACACACATATATACACACACACACATATATATATATACACACACACATACAGTTGCCAGTCAGTCGCCTTAACAAATCCTACTCCATTTGCATCTCACTGCGAACAAGGGGGCGTGACAGGAGAGGGAGAGGGTAAGCACACATGCACAGACACTCATACACATACAGGCATACACTTGCAGAAAAAGGGAGAAAGGTAGACAGGAATAAAAGAGACGAGTTAGCGCAGTTTTTTAATCGAACTAGACAATTATATATATTTTCAAGGAATTCGCTTAAATCTTAATTATCAGAGTATTTTTTTATCACAATATATATCTAAAATTTGAAATTAAAAAAAAAAAAAAAAAAAAAAAACAGATGCTAGGCACTTTAATTAAGCTCAGAAAAAATTTATAAAAAATCCATAGCTGAAGCATTATTACTTAAAAATATTTTTTTTTTAATGTAATTTTTTTTTAATCCATTATAAATTTTAAACAATTTTTTTAATGATTAAAATATTTTTTTTTTTTTTTTTTTTTTTAAATAATAAAAATATTTTTAGCATACTTTTAAAATACTAGAAATATTTCTACTATTTATAAAAATATTTAAAATATCTTAAAGTTCCCTTAGTTTAATATAAAATACTTTAAAATATTTAAAATATTAAACTTTAGTTTAATATAAAATGCTTTATATAGGCAACAATATTTCTCAAAACTCAAAGAAATTTCTGGTGAACGAACTTCATGTTGACTACAAATTATTTACAAATTTCTTCGAGTGTAAACCTTAATATTTCTCAATGAAATATAGCATATATAGTAATTTTTCTAATAATCTCACTCAGAATACAAATGCAAACATTAATTTCTCGCAGTGCACATACTAATGCACATGTAAGCCATATACATAGACGTATACACAGAGATATATATTCGATCAGACTGTTGGGATAGCTGCCACGTGGCATGTGGCATGTGGCATGTGGCAGCTGCCAATGCGCTGCGCTGGGCTGAGCATGGCTGCCAGTTAACTCGGTTCGACTTTTATAATCCGCGTGCCGCATGCAACGCTCCAAAGACAAATGACAAACTCAAATGCATTAAGCTGCAGCCCAAACGGCTGAGCAGGAAGCGAGGGCGGTTAGGGAGAGGCATGGGCGTGGCACCATAGGAGACCCAAACGAGCGCAGCTGCCGTTGCTTTGTTGTTTGCTGCTGCTGCTGCTGCTGCTGCTGCTGTTTGTACTTGCTAAAGTAAACATTATTTTCTCAAGACAACAATTTAATATTACACATACGCAGCGTGGAGCGCGTAACGTTTATGATGACAAGCTCCACTCGTATTTCCCACTCTCGACTCTTAAGGATCCGCTTCAAGTTGTGCTCAGATTTTCATAACTCAAACATGCGTTTGGCATTCATTTGTTGCCTCTAACCGATTTCTGTGGCATGCCACACACTATCTGACCAGGTCGACAGCGAACGGCAGAGGGGAAATGCCAATAACAATGCCCACATGACATATCTTTGGCATCTACTTGTCGCATTAGGGTAAACCAATATAAATTCCACAAATTCACAATAAACAGGGCAAAATCAATTTTCGAAATTTATTATCCACGTTCCCCATTTGGAGGTATCACAACTGCTGCTCCTGCTGCTGCTGCTGCTGCCACGGCTAGTGCTGTTAAAGGGGTGTAAATGTGACAAGTTAAGACGACACTCAATGCGTCTGACACGCCAAGCTCCAGACCCAGACCCAAACCCCAAACCCAACCCCAGCCCAGCTCTGACCCAAGCCCAACCCCATTCGCCTGTCAGCTGGCATTTTATGTCGCTGTGAGGCCAATAATTGTATAAATTAGATACGAACGAAATGCAGTTAGTGGACAGGCAGACAGACAGACAGACAGACACTCTCTGTGTATCCCTAAAGGGCTCTCGCCAGCTGCACACAAACACACACACACACACACACACAGAGAGACGCTCGTTGGCCTGTCTAATGGCGGCTAATGTAATAATATTTATGCTAGCTGCTGACCATTTTTATGGGCTTTATGCTTTATGCGATTTGGCCAGTTACTCAATTTCAGCAGCAGGACCAGGGCGATTTTTTGTTTACTCTGGATAACAGTTAAATGATGAAGAGCCGTGAGAGATAGAGACAGCGAGAGAGAGAGAGAGAGAGAGAGAGAGGGGAGAGCGGGAGAGTGAGAGAGTTTATATCTGAGGACAGCTGCAAGGCTTTCTCTGCCACAATGCTCTATTGCATGCACACACATGTTCATTCAGTCATTCAGCATGGGACGCAAAACCTTTTGTTTGCGGTTTTTAGTCAACGAGGGAGAAAAATTCAATTTCGGTTTAGTTGGCCAACAATGGCACTTTATATATGTGTAAGTGTCTGTGGGTGTGTGTGTGTGTGTGTGTGTGTGTGTGTGCCTACACACGCTCTGGGAGTAAGGACTGCTGAACGCCTTTTGCTACCCACACACACACAGTCACACACACACATATACACATATAAGAAATGTTTTGTGGAGCCAAATTGAATTATTTGATAAACATCATTAGAAAAATTACAAAATATATAGAGCACTCAGCATGCGGCAACAAATCACGAGAGCCAAGCGCAAGAGAGAGAGAGAGAGTCAGAGCGAGAGAGAGAGAGGGAGAGTGAGTGCGACCCAGCTGCGGTTTTATTTTTTTGTATTTCTTAAACATTTGCCCAGCACTAAATTACTTTTTCGGTGCACAGATGTCCAGTCGAGGCCACCGAAAACCTAAATGAATAATAAAAACCATTTTTGTTGTAGTAAATCAAATTAAATTTCAATCGCATGCTTGACAGCTAACAAAAAGGATTCATTCACAGTCGCCGATGACACTTCAGCCAGTCAAGCGAAATGAACGAACGAACAACAACAACAACAACAACAAGCAGTTGGACACAAATGTGGCCACAGACCACGGACCACGGACTGACGCTGCGTATACGCAATGTTGCAAATGCCACAGATTCAGCTTATTTAACAATACTAACAAGTTTCTCTTCCCTGTTTTTTATAAGCTCTTCAGCCCACAATAGAGCTTAAAACTGGCTGGTCTATCAATGTTATTTCTAACAACATTTCAAAGAAATAACAAATGCTCTAGCCGGGAGTATTCGACGGGCAGATACTCTGCGTGTTGAAGCTGAAGGGGCTAGATTTCCTATAAATATGTGTAGATCGATATATAGCACTTTTTATAGGCATTTAATTTTGGGGAAAAGAAATTGAGCTATGCTAAATAGAAAATGCTCATAACATGTGTTGTCATAGCGCAAACATTCTAAGCAAATTTTATTTAAATTTTTATTTTTAAATTGAAAATATCGATATTTATCGTTCACTACAAATTAATTATCAAAATAATTAAAATTAAATCAAATAACTTATAACTTATATACGTATATATATTTATTATATAAATATAATATATATATTTAATGTATATATTTAATGTATATAATTAATATATATATTATATATTATTTAAATACTCCTTTCTTAATTTAACTATCAAGATCCCAATCAGATAGATCGACTCAGACTGAAAGTACTTAACTATATCAAATCAATTTATCCTAGTTCAATTCAATTCTAATAGAAAACTTATATACCCTATAAGCTCTTGCACAACTAACACTGCCTCTTATATACAGTTGCAAAATACTATTATAGCCAAAAACCAATTTCAATTGGTTTAAGGTATATAAATACGAAACTTTGCAATCACCCGCAACACTTTGAGCAGAGTTCTTAAAAACCCTTTTTACGCCAATTTAAAATAAGTTTATATATATATATAAATTGAACTAAATAATGAAGGAATGTTGAATTTTATGAAATTTCTGAATTAAAATGCGCTGAAAAATGTATTTAATTATTTTGAATTAAATGAACTAAATAATAATATTAAATAATTTAGTGAGAGGCAATGAAAATTAAAGAATATATTTAGAATCATCTCTATCATATATATATATACATTTATATTCCTATATACTTATACAATTCGCATCAATAATAACAAATGTTTTGTGGCTTTAAATCAACTTTAAATTGCCATGGATAGACGAGTTTTACTTCATTTCTTAACATAAATAAATCCTTAAATATCCTTCATTGCTGACATACATCAGCTCAACTATGCCAAATGCCTTGCTGCATTAGCAATTCTTACGATTGAAGTGAGTAAATGACATTTGGTCTATTGCTATGCTAACACAATTAAAGGCCAATGAAATTATCGAAGCATTTGCCGAATTTCATTTGATTAGGCTTAGTTCAAGTGCACAGGGTATACATAGTATAGTATAGTATAGATAGTATAATCGAGTATATAAATATATATATATATATATATATATATATATATTTAAATATAGAATGCTTTGCAATTGTGGCCAACGCCCAGTTTTCGTTGTGTTGTGTGGACCCACATGTGTAACTATTTAAGCGGCAATTTGTATTTTATTGCCAATTGCGTTCTGCATGTCCGTTTAACAACAACAGCAACAACAACAACGACAACAACACCATCAACTGTTGAAAAACTTTGTATGGAACAGACAAAAGTCGTTTCGTCCCGCCGCTCAACTGGTGTTTGATAAGTTAAATGCTGGCTGCTCTGTCCCATTTTAGATATTCCAACTGTGTGTGTGTGTGTGTGTGTGAGTGTTTGGATCAGGCTGGCTCTATAGACTGGGGCTATCTCTGGCAGCAACTACGTGGGCATGTGCAAAGTGAACTCGTCCAACTTAACTATGGCTCACTTTGTTAGCGAGTTTAGCACAGTTTGAAATTCAATTAGTTTTTTGTGCGGGCGAGACGATTTGTGTTTAAAATTCAAGGCTCAGAGCAGCTGATGTCGATTAAATAAATAACCGAAATATATACTAGCTCGCTGGCTGTATCGAGTCGTGTAGTGTCCATAATTTAATTTTAGCTGAGAACGCGGCGTCCTGGCGCCGCATTCGCTGGATTTAATGTGTAAAGTTTGATGGCTCTTTGCGAAAGGAAAAAGGGCATGCGGCAGGAGCGGGCGCAGGAGCAGCAGCGGCAGCAGGAGCAGGCACTGGCTGCTAGTCATACATTTGATATTCTATTTACGCAAAATGAACTCCTTTGCCCTGCTGTTGCTGCCGTTGCTACTCCTGCTACTCCTGCTGCTCCTGCTGCTGCTGCTGCTGCTGTGGCAACTTTAACAATAACGACAATAATGAGCCGTGCCCCGCCCACAATTAGCGCCCACTTGGCATAGAGAGGCACGCGAGCCACAGGACAACAAAGCAGACCTTTAAATGCCACACCAACCAAAAACTTTTTCAAATGTGTCAGAAAGAGAAAGGGAGGCAGCGGGACGGAGCGGGGGGCAGCGAGAGTGCGAGTGAAACCCCTTTACAAGCCATGCTGATTCTAGCTAGTGCAACAAATTGCTGGCGCACAAACTCAGCTCAAAAACTTTTCGTTAAAGACAATTTAACTTTGTAAACTGATACAAAATGTTCGCCTTGGTATACTTAAGTCCTTTTATCCATTCTCCTTAACTACCAATTCCCATGCCACCTAGCCCAATCTCTCCTACTGTTAATCAGTGCCAGTTAACGTGTGTATGTGTGTGTGTGTGTGTGTGTGTCACAGTATAACAAACTATATCTATAGTTATCAAAATAAAAATACTTTAGAGTTATTTGTAATTCATATTTAACAATGGCAAATGCCAAAGTCAAAAGGAATTTTAATTAATAAAAGTTATAAATAATGCCTAGCACCTGTTGGCAATGCTTATTTATTATATATATTTATAAAAGTCTATTCTTAATTTTAATTTTCTATACAACTTTCAAAGCTATTGAAAAATTGAAAGAAATTATTGTGGCATATTTGTTGCTGCCTGCCTGCTGCAGCCTCAGTTGCTCAATATTCCAATTAGGCAAAGAAGTTGAGTTTGCTCTTCTTAAAAAGTTGAAGCTGGCGCGTTCAACTTGCTGCAACTATGGCAAATGCTATTGCGCAGACCGGACCTGGCTTTGCCTCTGCCTCTGCCCCTGCCCCTACCTCTGCCTCGGTACGAAACAATTTTCCAACTGACACAAAGTGTCATGTCAATCGAAGTAGAAGATAATATTTCCAACTTCCAAGCAGCAGCAGCAGGAGCAGCAGCAGCAGGAGCAGGAGCAGGAGCGGGAGCAGCAAACACAAAAAATTCAGCACATTTTTAGCAACTTGCAACGCGCAACTTGCAACTTGTCTGCAACTTCGCAACATGCAACTCACACGCAGTCAGAGCGAGGCAGCGGCAGCCGGAGACGTTTGCTATTCTCCTGCTGCGACGACAGTTTACAATTATCGCATTGTTAGTCAGTCGCTCTGCAAGCATTAAGATCAATTCACAACTGAAGTAGGCAAACTTGGCGCAGCATATATAATCTAATATGGATGATGGCAAATGGGAGCAATAGGAAAAGAAAGTGCAGTGAGGCAATAGAGAAAATAGTTCGATAAAATGGTATTTATGGTTTTCATTTGCAGCTACTTGCATGCCCTTAGGTATCACTCAAATAGGACTGCCTATGCCATGCCTAAAATAGTAGCCAGAAATAGTAGTATACACGGAAATAGTAGTATACTCAGAAATAGTAGTATCAGAGTATGCACATATATAGATTATAGTAATATACGCAGGAATAGTAGTATACACAGAAATAGTAGTATACTTAGAAATAGTAGTATACACAAAAATAATACTTTACATAGAAATAGTAGTGTCAGAGACCACACAGAAATATAAAGCCACATAGAAATAGTAGTATGATCAAAAATAGTAGTATACACGGAAATAGTAGTATACACAAAAATAGTACTGTACATAGAAATAGTAGTGTCAGAGACTACACAGAAATATAAAGTCACACAGAAATAGTAGTATGATCAAAAATAGTAGTATACACAGAAATGATACTCCTATCTCAACAAAATAGTAGTATACTTATAAATGGTAGTATGTACAAAAAGAGTACCATATATCAGATATAGTCAAATCTGAGCATACACTGAATATGCACAGAAGAATTAGTATATATCACAATAGTAGTATGCTCAGAATTAATATACAGTATCAGAGAATCATGAGTATATATCAAAACAATTGCACAGAAATAGTAGTGTATAGCTTGTACACATAAAAGCAGAGAGATAGGAGCATTTACTACTATTTTTTGTGGTACCCATACTATTTCAGTGCACTCTTGTCGTCAGATATGCTTATTCACCCCAAATACAATATCGCTTATTCAAAGAGCTCCATTTTCAGAGATTTGCCTTCGCATTCCCTTTCGAGTCCCACCTGCTATTGCATTCCTTATTGACAGATTATACGCCTCCCTTGGCAATTCATCAATTGAAATTCTCTTGAATTTACTTTGAAATTCTCTTAAAAAAAAAAGAAGAAAATAAATATGCGTAATCGTCAGCTGCAGCTATTATTTCGCCGTCCTCCTGCAAGCTGAGCGGGCCAAAAAATAAAATAAAAATATAGATAAAAAACTTTTGCCAGAAGTCGACAAAGGCGTAACAAAAGCAGAACTCGAGCCGTTCACTGCTGCTCACTTTCTTCTTGGCTTGGCTATCTCTGGCGACGGTTAAATGAGAAAACTTTTGAATTCCGAGCTGAAATCGAGGCGGCGCAGGCGACGACTGCACTGCGAGCATAGGCTATGCATAATTATGAACTCTAACCGACTGTAGCTGATGCTCTACAATGATTTCTTTGCTCTTCTCGTTGCAGGAATATCCGACTGCGCTGGACTTTAGTGCGCCGCCGTTGCCGCTGGCGCATCTGCAGCCCATGCAGCCCATTACGGTTACCTCGCAGGCGGCGCTGCTGGCGGCGAGCAATGGCGGCGCCACGCTGGTGGGCAATGGCAGTGCCACAGGTGGCACGCTGCGTCGCGGCATCTTGCGCGGCGTGGTGGGCGTCGGCGTGGGCGTGCCGCCGCCAGATGTTACGCATCACACCTCCGGCTCCGCCTCCGCCGGTGGCGCTGGCATGCAAATGCTGCACGATCTGCATCCGGTGAATCTCAGTGCCACCACGCTGACCACGAGCACCACGCTCAATGGCAGCATGACGACAGCATTGCCGCTGGCCACATCGACGCTGCCCCGCCAGCCGCACGGCATACTCAAGGATCCCAATCGCAATAAGCAGCAGCAGCAGCAGCAACAACAGCAGCAACAACAACAACAGCAGCAACAGCTGCTCAATGCTAGTTTAGTGGGCGTGCCCGTCTCGGGGGCCGTGGGCAGTTTGCAGATTCTGAATCTGAATCCGGTGAGCAACGCGGCGCTGGGCAACAATCTGCTAATGACTACGAGCGCCACCTACGACCCGGCCACGCTGAGCAGCTTCAATGCGAGCGCCGCTGGCGTCGGCGCTGCAGTCGGAGCTGGCGTCCAGGTGGCCTACACAGATGCGGATGGGCATCTCGTATAGCTGTAGGCCGAGACTGGGGCCAGCTCTGAGTCCCGGTACTAAGGATGGCGCCCAGTCTGTCCAAGCATCTACACATATACATATACATACAGGCATACACATCTACACAGATATACATACTATATCTATACATACATATATATATAACTAACTGTACTCCACACTCGACTCGTAGCTAGTTTAGAAGCTTTCCCTCTCTACATTTAAATGTGTGTTTGACATTGTGTGTGTGCGTGTGTGTGTGTGCACCAAAGTATATCCTAGATCTGTGTTATACGCCAGGAGAAGAAGTTAACAACTGCAATTAGCAAATACCCTGTGAAAGGATAAAAGCTAGAGAAGCTTTATGTGATGACTCAAGCTAAAATAAAATTAACTGGAATAGATTTTACTGCTTCTATCAGAATTATTATAGGGTATAAATAAATAAAACAAATGATCATTAGGCAGATACTCCTTAAAAAGTTAACAGCTTGGGTAGTCATAAAGGAAAATAGAGAAAAATGTAGAGAAGAGATAGACTATGACATGGCTTTTGCTAGCTGCAGCATACACCACATGATAAATGCAGTACAAGGTATGCAAGCAGCAAATACCCTGTAAGGAGTAAAATCTATATGTAGAAAGTTGCATGCTACACTCACTATCATACCCCATGCGATAAACTGCTTTGCAGAGTATAGACAGGACTTCAATTATCCTATTTAAAGAATTTACATACCGTGTAAAAAGCCAACAACTGAGGTAGCTAAGCACGAAATTTCATTTCAATAGGGTAACGTCAGGTTTTCTGCCACTTTCGCCTGCCTCACATACCCCACTCGCCCCCTCTGGGATTGCAGAGTATTGCCAGTGCCCATTACCTTATTCAAATCAGCTACAGAATTAGTTTATGTAAATTTTTAAAACGATTCTCACTTGCCCATAAGACACTGCACGCTGTTTATTCAGATAAACAAGCCCCAAAGACGATCTCATGCCGCTGACCAGTTCGTCTGCTCGCATCTCCATCTGTCTCCGTCTGTCGCTTTGTCAGTCCGCTGGAGGATTTGCGTTTTGCTAATTAGCTTTCGCAAGCAGCAATAACAGCAGCCATAACGAAAAACTTTGAGCGGGACGACAGCAAGGGCAGCAGGAGCAGTGGCAGCAGGAGCAGCAGCAGGAAGCGGTCAAAATTTTTGGGAAATTAGTTCAGTGGAACGAACGACACAAAGAGCCGCGCAGCCGTTTGACAGCTCCCTGGGGCGTGCTCAGGCCTCAAGTCGATGGGCACGTGATTGCGCTAGAGGAGCGCTCACTGGGCGTGGCCAAAAAAAATGGAAAAGTCAAAGCGAACTAGTTGGGAGTGCACGCCTAGAAGATACCCTGAGACTGGGACTGAGACTGAGACTGAGACAGAGACTGAGACAGACTGAGACAGACTGAGACAGAGACTGGGACTGAGACAGAGACAGACTGAGACTGAGACTGAGACCGACTGAGACAGAGATAGAGACTGAGACAGGCAGAGACTGAGACAGACTGGAACTGAGACCGACTGAGACAGAGACTGGGACTGAAACTGAGACAGACTGAGACTGAGATAGAGAGACAGGGGAACGGAGGAATAGACAAACAAAAACAACGGAACTGAGACTGAGGCAGCAGGAATACTTCAAACGGGTGCAGACGGTCGACCCATCTATACATCATGAAGTCTGCCACGCCTCCTTCTGCGCGTTACATACAAGCAGCAAGAAGCGATTATGCCCCGCTATCAGATTTGCCATTAGTTCAGGGTATAAGCAAAGCGCAAACAGTTGACAGCAGCTGCAGGAGCAGCAGGAGCAGCTGGAGCAGCGTTTGAGCGTTTTCAGTAAAAGTGCTTGAGCTGATGCTGGAAGTTAGAGCGCCAACTTAGCGGATGGGGGTGTAGCTAGTGGAGGCAGCTGCCACGCCCAGTTGAGATTCACATTATGTGCAGGCAACGCAGTTGTTTTGGCATATTCAAAGGATTCATTCGCCTGCTTGCGGTGCTTGCGATCTATCCATCTGCTTATAGGTACCATTATTGTCTTAACCCACCAACCGCACCACCACCACCACCATCAGCCTTTGGATGGAGTCTTAAGTGCTTGCCGCACATTTGCTGCTCGTCGCAGCCCAGCGAGCGTGACATGCTCATCTTGGGGACGCCATTAACTTCTGCTAGCCGCGCTGGAGCACATCATGACAATTCTATTATGTGGAGCATCAATGCAATGCGAGCACCCTTAGCACCCTTAGCTGCCTGGCATCCTTTGCCAAGGGCAAACCTAGATGACAGAAGCGATGTCTGTGTGTGTGTGTGTATGTGCCTCTCTCTCTCTGTATGTGTGTTAATTAATATTCATCGAGCTGTAATTACCAAGTCTCTCACACTAATGCAGTCGCAGATAAACGCAGCTGCAGGCAAAGCGAGCAAAAAAAACAGGAAAAAAAAAAGAAATCCTCTTCGTCTATTCGATTGACTGACTGTGCTGAGTGAAAGTAATTAAAAACGAAATTAAATATATTTCGAAATTCAATTCAAGCCAGAGCAAAGACAAAGAAATTTGCAAGCAGCGCAACTAAAAAGTCGAAAATTCACCAAAAGCAAAGCAATCAGAGAGGCCAACAGCTCAGCCATGGACTATACATATCTTTGGGCTGATGAAAGTCTGAGACTGTTTGCATGTGTATGTGTGTGTGTGAATGTGAGTGCGAGTGTGTTTATCAATTTGAAAAGGCCCGCACGATTGTCACGCCTGGCGTTTGCTGTCTGCGTTCGCCTTTCGCCTTTCGCTGGGATTTCCGCTATTGAATAATTGTGATTGCCGTTCCCAGATAAAAGTTAAATGAGCAGGAAAATAAGTAAAATTATAATGGAGCTTAATGCCCACGTGGGGGGTATGGGAGCAGCACAAACACTGGAAGAAAAAACCTAGCAGGATGTTAAACAAATTCAATACAACTTTGTCAAAAGAAAAGTTAAAGCATTTCAGTTACACTTGGAGAAATAATATAGCTAGGTGTTTAAACGAAATTTGTCAAAATTAAATTTGGATGTGCTCTTACCAGAACCAGAACACTTCCCTTTACTCTGAGTGTGCCCAAGTTTAACTGTATTTATGTTTCGAGGCAACGTATTTATTTAACGTTCAAAAATATTCAATCAATAGTTTCAAACCATATGCAGACAGACAATAAATGGAAATACTTTTTGGCACGAACAACTTGCAGTTAACATAAACATGAGCAGAAATTTTGATATAACATCTAGAATGAGTCACACGCACACACACCCACACACAAACACACAGAGCTAAACATATGTAAAGCTTATACTCACATAGGTCTGCCAAAATTGCATTAAAATAAAGAAAAAACGAAAAGGAAAAGCATTTAAAATAAATTCTAGAGATAAGTAGCTAAGCGAACTAATTAATTAAACACAGGAAGAGAGAGTGAACGGAAAGGGGAAGAAATAAGAAAAAGAGAGAGAGAGAAAATCAATAAACTGGTATGAAAAAAAAAGAAAAGAAAAACAAATAAAAAGTTAGAGCAGGAATCTCGAACTACTCAATCAATATGCCAAAATTTAATTTGTACAATAAAAAGCGAAAACTAAACTAAGAGCGAAAAAATAAAATTTATGTAAAAGGACAAATGCAGGTACACACACACATACAAACGAATACATACTTATATATAGTAAAAAGACAGTCATACAAGCATAATTAATATATATACATATATATATAAAATAAAAGTAGTATAAATTTCACATCTCGTACGTGTAGAACTGTGTGTTGTTGGACTAATTGTCTCAGCTAAACCCCTAAGCAAGCTGTTCCCGAATAACTTACATAATGTGTGAATTAACATTAGAATCTAAGAACATTTAATCACCACCAAGCGATAGAGCGAGAAAGAAAGAGGAAGGGAGAGTGAGAGAAGGGAATACACAAATTCCAATACTCAAAGTCTATCAGTGTGTCTCACGCATATACTAACTATATATATATAATGATATATAGTCTATATATATATATAGATTATCTTGCTGGTTTTTTAAACGTATAACTATCGCACTTAATGAATATATATCGATTATAATGGCATGTAAAGCATATGAGCATAAATTTTTATACAGCGAAAAGAGAAGGAATAGAAGAGAAAAACAATTACAAATACGGCATTCGGTTGATATCGACTGCATAATACTCGTTCACATTTAATATAATAGCTAGATTACTAGCTGGGAGATCTTTAATATTGTGTTCTTTTATCATATCTATAGGAAACCTCTAAAGAGGTTCTATTATAAAATTTTATCGCTTAATCTGAAAGATCTTTTACGCCTTACAAAAAAGACAAAAATTAAAGATACACATCTCAGTGTCTCTTACAAAATTTCTAGACTCTTTCTATCATATTCTAAATAAACATGACAACAGAACCCATATACTCTCTTTACACAACGTGAACGAGTATTCGAAACTAAAATGTCTTCCCCGCATAATAGAGAATACTTATTTGTGTGTGTGTGTTTTTAAGATGGCTAATTAAATTATTTTTAAATTAATTTATAAACTTAACATATAATTCTTTCACATACACACACACACGCACACAGTGACAGCTATGGTACGAGCATGTATTTATTTAGTTTGTAATGCTAACATATGAAAATGGGGGAAAACTAAATAAGACTTAAGCACAAAATATGTTAAATTATTAGAGGTAAATATATGGATAAGTTTTATTATTATTACAATTATTATTATTATTATTAATATTATTATGATTATTATGCTTATATTGTAGTTAAAAGCAAGGCCAAAGAGATTTGTTAACAAAGCAAATAATTATTTACCAATTGATTCGAAGTGTTTTCTACTTAATTCGGGCCGAAATCACAGTTATAACAAAATAAAATATATAAATAAAAATTCTCTTGTTAATACAGCATATGTAATATGTTTAAATGTAGTTTAATGGAACCGAAAGGACAAAAGACTTGAAATACTGAATTTAGTTTAATTGTAATTCAAAACTCAAGCAACGTAACTAGCATACAGAACAAGAGAATGGAGAATGGAGAATGGAGAATGGAGAAAGGAGAAGCTACTCATAGACATAGATAAAGAAGCTAAAGGATAAATGGGAAAATATATATAACCAAAAACGATTTGACTATTGTGAATTTTTCTTTAAATGGTGATGATAATGATTTCGATTACATTTATGTAGCATCTATGCAAAATAATATACAAATATAGCTAAGCTGTTGTACAGAAGCCAGAGATTAAAACAAAACAATAAGAAAAAAAAAAACAAACAAAAAAATGAAAATTAAATATAAGTTTATTTGCTAAAAAGAAACAAAAAAAAAAAATTCGGAAAAAATTGTAAAAAAAATATATATATATATATAAATTAATTTGATGGAATGGGGTTAATGCATATGAAATTTATTGCATTTTTAAGAAATCTGTTAATATATGAATACAAAACGAAGAAAACAAACAAATAAAAAAACAAAAAATAAAATGCAATGCATTCACATTTCAATTCGAAGAGGACTATTTAATGGTGAAAACTTTCGCATCAATTTTCATCGAGCGAAAATAACACTAACACGCGCTGCGAAACAAAAGAAGGACAAAAGGAGGCAGCCAGGCATCCTGCCAGGAGGACGTTGAGAGATTGAGGCAAACAAACGTGTGTGTGTGTGTGTGTGTGTGTGTGCACGGCTGCTCTGGCAAAGAAGAGGCTGCGAATTTGGGTGTTCGGGTTTGGAGGGGGGGGCGTGGCGTAGCGACGCCCTCAAGAAAGTATCCACTATTCGTCTTACTTGCGTGGTGCGGCGCAAAAAAAATTGAATTCCTTGTTAAACTTACGAGCTGGCATTAATTTAACAGCAGCTCCCAGCAGCGGCAGCAGCAGCAGCGTAGCCCCAGTTTCAGATTGCGTATACGGCCCATTGGACATGTGATGTGTGCGTGCATTATTTTTACTCTCACTGTGACTTTATGATGCTCGTTCGATGCTCCTCGCCACGTTCCGTACGTCTGGCCAAATCGCAGCTCGTATTTCATTTAAATTGAACTTAATTAGTTCCGCCAAACTGCCAAAGAATGCTTTAACAGACACACCCACACACTCACACACACACACACACACACACATACTCTTGGCTTTGCCCAGCCATCGATAAAGCACTTTGAGGTGAAGATAATTCGCCTTTGGGCTGCTCTTTCAATAAATAGCTGACGAAGTGCTCGCTACTCTGGATGCTTGCAGCCTTTGCGCAGCTCTAAAAGGATTAACGCGCGCCCCAAAGAAAATTCGCCTTGAAGCGCGCGGGCAGTTCATCTCTTTGAGTAAATGGAAAAGTTTTGTTAGTACGCCACCTTGGCCAAAACTTTATCCACAGCAACTAGAGACACACAAACAACCAAAACAGCCAAAAAAAATATATATCAGCAGAAGCCAAGCTGCAGCTGGTCAAAATCAGAGCAGGCAGCGAGACAGGCAAAACAAAAAGGCCATTTGCCATGGCTCTGGAAAAGTTTTTTGTGGGCATAATCATTGTCACGGCCATTGTCGAGGAAATTTACAAATTATCATGTCCAACAAAAAATTGAACGCGTACCAGAGACACTGCCAAATGGAGGGGCACAGCGCATTCAAAAGAAAGGTAGGCGAAAAAAATATATATATTTAATATAAAGATAAAAATGCATTAAAACATTTTGTTGCACACTTTCGAGCAGGTGAGAAAAATAGTGGCATGGAACAATTTTTTTTTTATTTTAGCAGATTCTTTAATTTGTAAAACATAATAATTTAAAAATTATATAAATAATATATATGTACATAATATAATATATATACGTTATTTGCATATACACTAGAAAAAAATATAATTTAAAACATTTTTATTTGTAAATACATCATCAAAATTAAATAGATAATAAAATCAGGGTATAAAAAAAACCGTTTATATAATTCAATAAAAAAGTTCTTTTGAATATAAAATAAGTTGGTCTAATTTCATTTCAATGGCAACATTTTAACGAGCTATGAAAAAAAATGTAAGCAATCGACGCACAAATAAAATACATATTTATTACATCGACACACGAGGCGACAGCTGGCGAGCCGAGGCACCAGGTGAACAGAAATGAATTGGAGGAGGTCAAAATGTTATTTAAGAGAGACTTAACAGCGTGCTGTTAGTAAAGGCGACATAAGCAGCGCATGTACTGAATAATGTTAGCTAACATGGAGTGACAAAAGAAAGACAAAATTTAAAAGGAGAAGAATAAATCCGATATATCTGTGCCGATTTATGAAGGACTGCTGCCTGAGAGTTAACATATATAACGCCAAGAATATGTAAGATATAGGTGTAAATACATGTATGTATGTATATGCTTTATATGAAAAGCTAAGTCTAAGGAAATGTAATATATAAAAAACATATAAAAAACTAAACATTTTATGCTATATATACATATCTATTCAAAATGTGTGATAAATAAATTCCAAAAAATATGAAATAATATAAAATAGAATATAAAATTTGCATCTCCACAAGTTGTTTGATCAAACATTTCAAACTCGTAGCAGTTAAAGTTCTTAAATCATTTATTATTTTAAATGGTCTCACAAACTGCCATTTAGATAAATATTTCTGGTTGTATTTGCTTATGAAACAAGTTTCGAGTAAATAGTCTTGAATGCATGGATTAGAAGTCACTGCCATATAGATGCAGTCGGCTGGAATGAAATCACGTTGCGCTTGCATAAACAATTTGTTATACTTAGATGGGATGCTGTAGCTGGGCATTAGCCAACTGGAAACTGGAAACTGGAAACTGAAATCTAGAGTTACGCATATTCATTCCGGCAGCCAGAGCAAACCAAAACAAAGTGCGCCAAGCACCAAACACGCATCGCAAAATCCTTCATTGTGGCTGAGCATTCTATGCATGGATAGCAGAGCTGAGTAGAGCTGAGCAGAGCAGAGCAGAGCGTAGCGTATCCTTATTTGCAGCGCAAGTCGGGCTTTTGTTTGGTGCCTTCGCAAAATTCATTTCGAGGCATAGAAAGATTTTAATATGCAGCACTTTATCGCTACATTGCAGTGGTGGGCATCAACCAGCCACACACACACACACACACACACACACACACACCCACAGCATCCTCGAAGGGGGCTCACACACATGGCTAATTTATGCTCAAAGTTGGCTCAATGTTTATTCTCACAAGGATGAAGCAAGGGGAAGGGCAAAGAAGGCTGCAAAAAGGATTTGCAATGCACAATAATTTACATTACGCATCCTGCGCATCATAGAATGAAACTTTTCAACTTGAAAGAAACTTATATCAAGCGCTTCCAATTGAATACATCACATTCACTCTACCTCTCTCTCTCTCTAGCAGACATTTACATATGAGTGAGTGTGAGTGTTGAGTAACGTTTTCTTGGCTGCCATTTCATTCATTAAATCATGATTTTTGCCAAGTTCAAGTTGAATGAAATGAATGTCTGGGCAGGCATTTAGTATATGCATATAAATACATATATTAAGACTTGTGTTATTTTTATCAAGTCTATTACACTGTTCCTATATTATATATGTATATATGTGTCTTGGGCACTTAGCGAGCCACTACTCAAAAATAAGTTTATACAAGAAACAATTTGCTGTGGCTAAGATGTTTATGTTATTTCTGTTTAATCTATACGAAGTCAGCTAGCAAAACAGCTGTTCCAAATACTTGGCCGAACAGCGGCCTCTGGCTACAGGCAGTGAGCGAGAGAGAGAGAGGGGAGGAAAAAGGTGAGTGAGAGAGCGAGAGCGAGAACACGAGCGAAACTGACAAGCAACAGGCAACAAGCTGCCAGCCGACAGTCACCCATTCAAGTGCCACGCCCACTCAACCCACTTACACGCCGAGAGCAGTGCTTATTGCCTTCGTGCAACAGTGTGGCGAAGTAATGCGAAAAAGGCATGAAATGTGAGCTAGAAAAGTTTATTGTTCGAGTCCCAAATTAAAACATAATTATACTATAATAAAAAATGAATAAAAACTAATTATGTCAAATTAAAAATTAATTATAATATAAATGATATAATACATACTTTTATTGGAAAAAATATTAATATTTATAGGTTTAAATAATAATAATTATAGTAACAATATTATTATGAAGACGTCACACACTGAGTTAACTAAACAAGAAACTAATCTAAGATTCAAGGGCATACACCTTAATTAAATTAGTATCAATAGTGGTATATTAGTTATTTAATTTTTTTTCTAAATAAATAAAAATATATATATATATTTAATAGAATAAGTATAAGTAACAAGTATGCATAAAATATTATTTATATCATACCGTAAATAACTATATATATTAGAATATAAATAAAAGCTACTTACTTGCGCCACTGTGCAGTTGAATATATTTTAACAGTTTTACTGATTTGTTGATGGCTAATTGCCGTCTATATATTTAAGAGTTAAGTTATTAAATTTTATCAAACAGCTTCATCACACTAGTGCACATCATATGCATACAAGTTCAACTAACTTGAACCACTGTGCAGTGAGATAGATTTACCGTTGCCGCATGCTGCGTGCCGCAATATTTGGCGCTTGGCGCTGGGCGCTCGGCCGCTCCGCCGCTCGTTCGCTCGGCATTTAGCAATCGGGACTTTCGTAGCGGCCGTCGCCGAGCAGCCGACTCTGCTCGTCAGTCTAGAGAGTAATATCGACACGAAAAGTAAGTTGGCCTGTGGGTCCGTTGGCCCACAGCAGCTGTATCGAGTATAGAATTTATAAGTGGGCACACACACACCCAACTGCACATGTGTGTGTTGCAGCTCGTGGAAATTCGTGGAAAATCCATGCGTGCGAGAGTTGAATTCCAGCGCGTGTGACATTCCAAATGAAAATCCATTGCATAAGAAATGCAATTCAAATGAAAAGTGCTCGAGAAAATTATGAAAAATGTGTGAAAAACGCCTCAGCGAAATTCAAATTCAAATTCTGTGCTAGTTTTTTGTGGCTGCCCAGGTCTTTGCGTGTGATATTTTTGGACATGTGTGCGCTCGTCTCTCGTCGCTGCTTCGGATGGCGTGTTCGGGCCCCGATGATACCCAAAAATAAACACACGACAGTGCTGCAAACCCGATTGAAGATTGAAAGAAGTAGCTGAGACACACACACACACACGCACATATACATATATACATATATCTATCGAAATCTTTAATAGATATAGATATAGATTATAGTTGGTGCTAGTGCCGGGTATACAAATCTCAATATATATCGTATATGGATGCTGCGTTACCCTGCGTGCCATCGGACCCTGGATTACCGATGCTCGCAGTGCACAGTGTCCCAGTGTAATGCAACAATAATAAGAAGTGTTCTCAATCTGAAATATCAATAAACATATATAACTATATAATATAGAGACATATATAAAATCGAACTACATCTATATATCTACAAGTTGAATATCATATTCTAAATCTAAATTAACTACCCATACATACACATATTCCTAATGTCATGCTCTGATCTTTCGAAAGAATGCCTCAATTTCAATATATCTATTCGAATACATATGTTCTGTCTACGTAACATGCGCATATTTGCGGCTAAGAGTCCGAAGTAAATTTTGGCATAGCACCAAAGAGTCGCAGCGATTCTTGAATCGAATCTGCCTATTTATACAATTAACAAACATCTGAGGCAATTGGGAAAACACGCGAAAGCGCAAGCCAAAGCAAACTGACAAATGACAAACGACACAGAAATCACAACAAGGAAAAGTGGAGGAAAAACAAAAGTGAAAATTGAGAAATGCCGGCAAAGGAAAAACAGCTGAGCGAACTTGGCAAGCCGAAAAGCATATGACACACTATGAAAAGACCCGACGAGCCCTCCACGAGAGCGTGAATGACAAGAGAGAAACAGAGAGAGAGGGGGAAAGAGAGAGAGAGAGAGAGAAGTGCTCTCTACTGAACGTTAATCTATTTTTACGAAACCCAAACAGAACAGAATTTTGTAATATTTCGTTCATTATTTATTTATTTGCTCATTTTGATGGCAATTTCTTAATCAGGCATGAAAACGGAATGTGTTTGTATGTGTGTTTAGTAAGAAGATTATTTAGTTTGAACCTCTTTTAATCCACTTAGGGACCTGTTTGAGTTACCCGGTCACATAGACAAAGAAATCGAAATACTACACAAATAATTGCATCAAACTCTGTTTGGACGCTACAGTCGTTGCGTTAACCGGCAAAATGGCTGAAGCGGAAGGTGGCTCCGAGCAGGATGATGTTTCATTCCTGCGTACGGTAAGTACTCAAAAAAACATAAAACATAAATATGAATATAAGAATAAGAGTGTGCAAGCTGGGAAAGTCCATATAGAAAGTACCCAAGAGCAAAGTTAATTCCTTGAAAAAGATTAGAATCCTTATATGAGAGTCACGAAATATCATTAGATAAGCACAGTTGTATATCGAATTTAATCGATAATTTTACAGCTTTAGAAACATAGAAGAATAAGCTCAATTTTGTATATCTATATTCGAGTATGCTTAAGCTATAGAAATGGAACTACTTTTGCGATTATAACTATAGACTATGCTAAGTGTTAAACTTTGATTGAGCTACCAGGAAAACTTATCGAAACCTGAAATCGATTTTGACAGTTTTAATAAAAAGGCCAACTCCTTCTGGCCGTTTATCTTAATCAAAAATAAATATACTTCATAGTCTTTCCTGTTACATAGTTTAGCGCAAAATCATGCTACTCTGCTGAGTCATATGCAATGGGTATGAAATGAAATCACATCGTCTGAACAATATTAGAAAACATCTCAAATCAATTACGTTCAGTCAATAAAATATTAGCGAGGATTTCACACAATTGATGTCATAAAGCAAACATACCAACACAAACACACACCCACAGGCACACACACATGTTAGCTAGGACTCCATAAAGGATGTTGGATATTTATGGGCGCCGACTTTACAGACAGACAGCGCCAACTTTCTTTATGGCTGCCAATAAATACGAAAAGTCAGGTCCACACTTTTCAATCACAGCAAATTTTTAAGCTCTCGCCAGATTTGTTTGCTTCACTTTACATAAACGCAAGATAAACACAACAGAAGAGATGGATATACATATCTGTATATATATCTATATATCTATCTGTATGGATAGATATATCAATGACTACACCTGACGCCGAAAATGACAGTCATTATGTGTGAATGTGTTTGTAAGGAGCAGCCGCTGCGTCTGTTATAAATAAATGGCATCAGTGACCAGCGACTTCCACTTGGGCACTCCTCGTTCGCTCGTCCTTGGGCAAGCCTTGGCGCTCGCTCGCTCGCCAGCCTGCCCCTTGGGGCCAGAAGGTCAGCGCCAAGCACCTGGCTGCAATAAATAAACACATTCCATGCTATGCTTTGTATCCGTATCTATTTCCTTTTGCTGTTCCTGCCCGCCGGCGCTCACTCGTTGCTCAAATTCAATAAATATGCTCCGCATATACATAGTATAGGCTCTGGCTGGACTCTAAGTGTTTTTTCACTTTGACCATTTTGATACGTTCGACGCGGTTGGGGGATTCGATTTGCTGTTTTCCCCGGACAGCTACGCCGTGGGAGCAATTTTTCCTTATGCTCCCTTTGCTTCTATTTTTTTTTTTTTTTTTTGTTTGCCGTTAAATTAGACTTAACGATAATTCTTTCGAATTTATAGCAATGCCTGTATTTACACTCCTCTCTGACCCAAATAGGTCGCATTGAGAATTTAATAGGTGGAATTTTAGATGTAGTTATGCTATAAAGAGATCTTAAGTTTTACAAAATGTTTGCCCGAGATGGGAGACCTAATTTAAACAAATTGCATCCTTTTTTCTGGCTAAGAAAAATGCTTGTATAGAGGAGTGTTTAATAAGAATATTATAGTAGGCCTGAATCTATTGTGATATTAACATGATTGTTCTATAGGCAACAAAAGTTTGGAGAGATCTATGAGAATTGTACTAAAATTCCACTAAACTACTTTAAAAATGATTAATTTTCATCCATTATACGAATTTCTTACCTAAGTAAGTCTAATGCTCTATTCAGATAACAAAACGAAAAGAATCGATGTTCAAATCCCAACTTAGTAGGTGTACATAGTAACTAGAGCTCCTTCGGTGTCTTTTAAGTATCAAGAATATTGACCTTAGGCCACTTGAATAGCGAAAAAAGGGCTCTAGTCACAGCAGTAACTTTTAGATATTATTGTAATTGATAATATAATATATGATAGATATAATATATGATATTATAGATATATATGAACCACTACAGAATATAATCTGTTTTTTTTTTTCCACTAAATACTACCCTAGTCTGTGTACATATATATACACTATTCCATAATCGAATAAAGACACGGCAAACCATAAAGTAAATAATCTTCTAGATTATTATTGTTAAGCTTAAATCAAATTTGTTACTTCAATGTAATCTAACCACAATATATATTGCTTGACAATCAAGCATTAATTAATTGTGCATTACAATGCAAAAACACAGTAACAAAAGGTAGGCAAATGTACAACTTCAGTGCTGTTGTCTCTAAACAGTTGACCAGAGTTAACTTCTGCAATGGGGCGATTCGTTTCGATTTAAATTATGTAAATTGTTCGATTCGAAATCCATTACCGTTCATTTAACTTGGACACCAGGCACACACTCACACACACACACACACACATAAACTCGTAAGAGTAGACAACAATTCGGGCTGTACATCCCACTTAGCTGTCTTTGGGAACATGAGTCTGGGTGTTGAGGTCGGGTTTGTGTTTGTGGCTGTTTCTGTTGCTGTTGCTGCTGTTGCCTCTATTGCCTCAAATTTGGCAACATCCACGTAAACGCTCAATTTTGCATCGATTCATCGGCCTCGTTTTGCGTGCGGCATAGCTTCTGGTTGAATGGACGCTTGGGTAAACCAATTGGAATTTGCTATTTCGCATGACATGCCGGCGGTGCTGATGCCTCCGCCTCTGCCTCTGCCTGCTGACTGGATGCAATCAATAAACACTGTGATTAATAAATTTGATCTCTCAATTCACAGGAAGATATGGTCACGCTCTCCTGCACAGCGACGGGCGAGCGTGTCTGTCTGGCCGCCGAGGGATTTGGTAATCGGCATTGTTTTCTCGAAAACATTGCCGATAAGAATGTGCCGCCCGATTTGTCGCAATGCGTCTTTGTTATCGAACAGGCGCTGTCGGTGCGCGCGCTCCAGGAACTGGTGACTGCAGCTGGATCAGAGACCGTAAGTCCCCCTAACTGTATATTAATAATCACAAAGTCATTTGGCACAGCATGTGTTGAAACCGTCTACGAAATCAAAAGCCCACACGAAAACTTATTGAATTATCAAGTCTACCTATTCCTCACTCTAAGTCGTATGCTACTTTCGTCTCTTCCTCTATCCAATTCCTGGTCCACAATTTGGTTTTAATATATTATCAAAATTTGACTATATATATATATATATATATACTATTTACCTTCTGCATGTTGATTTCACTACAATTTCCATTTCTATTTTCACACAAATTGTAACCTATCAATTTTTCGGTTCTCTTTCAAAATTTTTCTAAATACCCAACAGGATAGTCAAGTTGTAAGTATACAGAATGTTCTTTTGACTTTAAAATCGCGCCGCTTTCTCTATACTTTCTTTATCTATAACTATAACTATCTTGCTGTATCTATTCTATTTCTATCTCACTCTACCGGTCTAATGTAGTATTTGTTATTATTATTATTATTGCTATTATTGCCACTTTGCTTCACTGTCTCGTCCAGCGGGCTTCAGCTAGTTTAAATCTATGTATAACTCGCTCTCTCTCTGTCTCTCACTCTCTCTCTCTCTCTCGTTCTCTATTTCTGTCTCTTTGTATATGTTTTTTCTACGATTTGTTAAAAATCAGACCGTGGAATCGATTGCTCTTTACCGCATTTAACAAACTCATTGACATGCTCATTAAGAGCGAATCGCTAGCATCGCATTCTCAATTAACTTCAAGTGCGACTCTCAACTACACAAATGCTAATTATCAACACTTTGTCACAGCGTACACTCAGAGAAAATCGAAGCCCGAATGTATATATAGATTTAATCACTTTCTTGGATTTTCTCTGACTGAACCAAATAGAAAACTCTTTCTCCACACACACACACAGAGACACACATTGTAGTAGCGTAGAGAGAACCAAGCATATACCTTCTCTTAATGCGATTAAGACTCAGCTGTCGCTTGCTTACTACTTACTAATTACTATTCAAATCTACAGGGCAAGGGCACAGGATCCGGCCATAGAACCCTGCTCTATGGCAATGCCATACTCCTGCGGCATCACAATAGCGACATGGTAAGCTAAGCACTGAGAGAGATGCGACACGATATATATGTGGATAATCCGAAATGAATTTAATTATAATGTAACCCACGGAACAGTATCTGGCCTGTTTGTCAACATCGTCGTCGAACGATAAGCTCTCCTTCGATGTGGGTCTGCAGGAGCATAGCCAGGGCGAGGCCTGTTGGTGGACCGTACATCCGGCGAGCAAACAGCGCTCGGAGGGTGAAAAGGTTCGTGTGGGTGATGATTTGATTTTGGTGTCGGTTGCCACCGAACGGTATCTGCACACAACCAAGGAGAACGAGCAGTCCATTGTGAATGCCAGCTTCCATGTGACCCACTGGTCCGTGCAGCCCTACGGCACCGGCATCTCACGCATGAAATACGTTGGCTATGTGTTCGGCGGCGATGTCTTGCGTTTCTTTCATGGCGGCGACGAGTGCCTGACCATACCCAGCACCTGGGGCCGTGAGGCAGGTCAAAAGTAAGCCGCAACTTAAGTCCACACTGATTCAATTACAATTACACTAATGCGACTCCTCAACAGCATTGTCATATACGAGGGCGGCGTGGTCATGGCTCAGGCACGTTCTCTGTGGCGCTTGGAATTGGCGCGCACGAAGTGGACGGGCGGCTTCATAAACTGGTATCATCCCATGCGTATACGTCATATAACGACGGGACGCTATCTGGGCGTCAACGATAGCAACGAGCTAATCCTCGTTAAAAAGGAGGAGGCATCGATTGCAACGACGACTTTCTGCCTGAGGCAAGAAAAGGACGACGAAAAGAAAGTACTCGAGGACAAAGACTTAGAAGTAATCGGTTCGCCGATCATCAAATACGGTGACACCACCGTCATCGTGCAGCACTGCGAGTCGAGCCTGTGGCTCAGCTACAAGAGCTACGAAACGAAAAAGAAGGGCGTCGGCAAGGTGGAAGAGAAACAGGCCATACTCCACGAGGAGGGTAAAATGGACGATTGCCTGGACTTCTCCCGCTCCCAGGAAGAGGAATCGAAGACGGCGCGCGTCATCCGAAAGTGCAGCAGCCTCTTCACACAGTTTATAACGTAAGCTATCTATCAACTCCCGAATATCCCAAAATACATAATTTCTTCCATTTTATAGCGCCTTAGAGACCCTGCAATCCAATCGTCGACATTCAATATTTTTCCAAAAAGTTAATCTCAACGAAATGGTCATGTGCCTGGAGGATTTAATCAATTACTTTTCGCAGCCAGAAGATGATATGGGTAAGCAAACGTGGAAGCCCTCTAAATAGCATAAAAACATTGTTTCCTTGCTCACAGAACACGAGGAGAAGCAGAATCGTTTTCGTGCCTTGCGCAATCGCCAGGATCTGTTCCAGGAGGAGGGCGTGCTCAATCTCATTTTGGAGGCCATTGACAAAATTAATATAATTACATCGCAGGGCTTCTTGGCCAGCTTCCTGGCCGGCGACGAGACTGGTCAGAGCTGGGATCTAATCTCAACTTATCTCTACCAGCTACTGGCCGCCATCATCAAGGGCAATCACACCAATTGTGCCCAATTTGCGAACAGCAATCGCCTCAATTGGCTGTTCTCCCGCCTGGGCTCGCAGGCGTCCAGCGAGGGCTCCGGCATGCTGGATGTGCTCCACTGTGTGCTCATTGACTCGCCCGAGGCGCTGAACATGATGAGGGACGAGCACATTAAAGTGATTATATCGCTGCTCGAGAAACACGGTCGCGATCCCAAGGTTCTCGATGTCCTCTGCTCCCTGTGTGTGGGTAATGGAGTCGCGGTGCGCTCCTCGCAAAACAACATTTGTGATTTCCTGCTGCCCGGCAAGAATCTGTTGCTGCAGACCTTGCTGGTGGACCATGTGGCGAGCATACGTCCCAACATCTTTGTGGGACGCGTCGATGGCTCGTCCATGTACCAGAAGTGGTACTTTGAGGTGACCATGGATCACATCGAGCAGACCACACACATAATGCCGCATCTACGCATTGGCTGGGCCAACACCTCCGGCTACGTGCCCTATCCGGGCGGAGGCAAGAAGTGGGGCGGCAATGGCGTCGGCGATGACCTCTACTCGTTCGGCTTCGATGGCGCCCATCTGTGGACAGGAGGACGCAAGACGCTTGTGGCGGACGCACTGCCCGAGGAGCCATACATACGCAAGGGCGACGTCGTTGGCGTGGCCATTGATCTGTCCGTGCCGGTCATTACGTTCACCTTTAACGGCAACAAGGTGCGCGGCTGCTTCAGGGACTTCAATCTGGACGGCATGTTCTTCCCGGTGATGAGTTGCTCCTCCAAGCTCAGCTGTCGCTTTCTGTTTGGCGGCGATCACGGCCGCCTGAAGTATGCCCCACCCGCGGGCTTCTCGGCGCTCGTACAGTGCCTGATGCCGCATCAGATCCTAAGCTTGGATCCCTGCTTTTACTTTGGCAATCTGAACAAAAATGTACTGGCCGGTCCCTGGCTCATCGAGGACGATACGGCGTTTGTGCCGAAGCCAGTGGATACGACAGGCGTGACCCTGCCCAGCTCTGTGGATCAGATTAAGGAGAAGCTCGCCGAAAACATACACGAGATGTGGGCTCTGAACAAGATCGACGCCGGCTGGACCTGGGGAGAGCAGCGCGACGACTACCATCGCATACATCCCTGCCTCACACAGTTCGAGAAGCTGCCAGCTGCTGAGAAGCGTTACGACAATCAACTAGCGGTCCAAACATTGAAGTAAATAGCAGGCATAGATTGAAAAAGACTCCAAATCTAATTATGTTATATCCATTTCCAGAACTATCATCTCTTTGGGCTACTATATAACCATGGATAAGCCACCAGCACGCATACGACCCGTGCGCCTGCCCAACGAGATATTTATGCAGGCCAACGGCTACAAGCCGGCACCGCTCGACCTGAGCGCTGTGACCCTGACGCCCAAGCTGGAGGAGCTCGTCGATCAGCTGGCCGAGAACACGCACAATCTGTGGGCACGCGAGCGCATCCAACAGGGCTGGACCTACGGCCTAAACGAGGACTCTGAAAATCACCGCAGTCCCCACCTGGTGCCCTATGCCAAGGTCGATGAGGCCATCAAGAAAGCGAATCGGGACACTGCATCCGAGACCGTGCGCACCTTGCTGGTCTACGGCTATGTGCTGGATCCGCCCACCGGCGAAGGCACCGAAGCTCTGCTAGCCGAGGCGCAACGCCTGAAGTTCGCCGCCTTTCGCACATATCGCGTGGAACGCAACTACGCCGTCACCTCTGGCAAATGGTATTTCGAATTCGAGGTGCTGACAGCGGGTCCAATGCGCGTGGGCTGGGCACGGGCCGATTGCTATCCGGGCGCCATGTTGGGCAGCGAGGACACCAGCTGGGCGTTTGATGGCCACAATGTGAGTATGCAGGGTTCTAGGTTTTCCCATTGTAGGATGATTGGTATATTATGATGAGCGAAGGTTCCATTTGTGGGTAAATGTGCTGTGATGTCTAGTTCACAATGTTTGGTTCGACTTTAATGCAAGCTCAAATTCAAAACCCTCCAAACATGATAATGATTATAGGTAACGAAAATGCATGCCGGAACGATCGAGCACTTTGGTGTTCGCTATGAGGCTGGTGACGTCATTGGTTGTTTCATCGATGTTAAGGAGCAAACCATCAGTAAGGATCCTAGCTGCACTGGCAACATTAGCAACGTTGCTTTACTTATTGAACTTTCGTTATGATCGAACGCATTTTGTTTAACTCTATTCTATTTTACTCAACTCAACTTTATTTTTTTTTTAAATATTATTATTATTCAATTATTTGTTTTCTAATCAATACATTTTTTGTTATATATAATTTAGCGATACTCTCATATCTGATCATTAACCAAACAAGCAAACAAACAAAAAAAAAAGTAAACCAAACAAACAATACGTTTAATTGGGGCTTTGATAGATCATGCGTTCAATTGATACATTTTAAACATCAAATTACAACTTTTTAGGAAGAGAAAGTCTACGGTGGCAACAGTGAATCGTTTGGTAAACAATGTGGACCCGGGGATATAGTCGGAGTCTTTTTAGATCTAGCCGATCACACAATTAGTAAGAATTTCTTCTGAATGCTCGCTCGTTTGTTGTAATGTAAAACAAAACAGAAAAAAAAAAAAAAAAAAAAAACTAAAAATGAAATGCCCCCAATACAAGATTCGTACATCCGTGCTTTTGATATCTACTAAATGTCCAGGTCCCTGCTATAAGACAGCTAAGTACATATCCAAACCATCTCAGCAAAGCTCCAACGACAGCCCGACAGCAATTGAAAACCCATAAACAATGCAAATTTATATCAAACACTTCGAACAGGGCATCACATATCGTACTTCATAATAATCGGAGAATGTTATATACAAAAAGAAAAGAAAATGAAATTTGCATTTTTTTTAGAAGTATTTTCTAGACCATTTTTGATCACTTTCAATTTTTTGGTTTTTTTTAAGTCCAACAAATGTCCCATGCCCTAACACCTGATTTTTATTACTTTGATCACAAAAGCCTAACTATTGCATAATATATCGAAGGACTACCTGAGCAAAAGGTGACACATCAGCTCATCTAAAAACAAGAAAAACAAAAAGCTTATTAATTAATTCGATTTGCCTGTAAATTCACATCCTTAAAATTTGACTAATCAATAATTGAAAATGAAATTCAATTTCGCTTTCAATTCGTCTACTAATCCATATATATACTACATACTATATACAAGAATTTGGCATGATATCTAACAGCTGAAACTGCTTTTTCTTTTTGCGCTAACTAATCGGATGAAATGCAAACAGAGAATTGCAAACAATCTAATACGCACGCATTTTGCATAGGATTTTTTTTCTATGTCATTTTGTTTTTCTAGTGCGATGCGACTTTTAGATGAATTTTGATTTCTATTTAGAAAGTCAAGGCATTAAGGATCGATTAACTAGTACGCACCAAACATTTTATGATCCTGCGCAGATTTCCGCCTGACTAGAACTCTTAATTTATTTAAAAGCAGCTTCGTTTAGATACTTTAATATGAATATAATCGAAATCGAATGGAAATATCGAATGAGAGTCTGATCAAATATTACCATCTACACAGGCTTCTCGTTGAACGGAGAACTACTTATGGATGCCTTGGGTGGCGAGACAACGTTCGCCGATGTCACCGCTGAGGGCGTGGGCTTTGTGCCCGCCTGCACCTTGGGAGTGGGCCAGAAGGCGCGCTTGATTTATGGCCAAGATGTGGACTCCCTCAAGTTCTTTACCACCTGCGGTCTACAAGAGGGCTACGAGCCCTTCTGTGTGTAAGTATATAGAATTGGAAATGGGATTCTGATGGAACTGTAATTCACATCAATTTACAATTCACAGCAATATGCAACGCCCTGTTACGCATTGGTATACCAAGGATCAGCCGATTTTTGAGAATACCGAGGAAATGCCCGATTGCCGCATCGATGTGACGCGCATACCTGGCGGAGCTGATACTCCGCCCCATTTGAAGATCTCGCATAATACGTTCGAGACCATGGAGAAGGCAAATTGGGAATTCCTGCGTCTCTCCCTGCCTGTCACCTGCATGAGCGACTTCATCAGTGAGCAGGAGAAGGCGAGACGCTGGGAGGAGATCAAGCTACGCCAATATCGCTTGATGCGCGAGGCACAAGAGGCAGCCATCCAGATGCAGACCCAAAATGCTGCACACATGGATCACATGCTCAAGTCCGGCTTCAATATGAACGACATTAAGGGCTTGACGCGCAATTTCGATGATCACACCGAGGCAGAGGCCGAGCATATGATGCACGGCCCACCACGACCACCACGCAAAGGTTCGCTCACCCGGAATATAACATTTGAGAGCGACATGACGGCTGCCTTGGACGAGATGCAGCGTTCGACCTCCGTATTGGACATGAATGGCCTGGGCGATGATCTAGATGACAAAAAGAAACGTGGCCGCAGTCCGTTCAAGTTCTTTTCGAAGAAGTCACGCGACCAGAGCCGTGAGAAGAATGGCTCGAGAACCGCAGACACATCGCTGGAGCGCAGAAACACAGTGGCCCATGGCCGAAACGTGGTTAACCAGCAGATGACAACAAGAACGCCAACGTTACGTCTAAATAATGTGAGTAGGAAACTATATCCCTTGTTATACATATATATATATAGTTATTTATTCTCCCACTTTAGGCCGAAATACCGCCCAGTCCAGTGCCTCAGGGACCAAAACAATTGAGCTCCACGAATTTGGGCCAGCCATCAGTCGAATCATCTGGCAATGAGATGTTCGATGCCGAGTGCCTTAAGCTGATTAACGAATATTTCTATGGTGTGCGCATATTCCCTGGCCAGGATCCCACCCACGTCTACGTCGGCTGGGTTACCACCCAATACCATTTGCATAGTCGCGAATTCAATAAGAATAAGGTGCGACGCGCCTCGGTCTACATTGAGGACTATTATGAAGTGCCCATTGAGCGCATTGATCGTCAGAGCTGTTATGTGGTGCGCGCCGACGAGCTGTTCAATGAGGTGACCCAAGACGCATCTGGCAAAGGTGCATCGCAGGGTATGTTTGTCGGTTGCTTTGTGGACACGGCGACGGGCATAATACGCTTCACCTGCGAGGGCAAGGAAACCTCGCATCGCTGGATGATGGAACCGGATACCAAACTGTTTCCGGCCATTTTCGTCGAAGCCACCAGCAAGGAGATCCTGCAAATTGAGCTGGGACGTACGCCAACCACGCTCCCACTGTCGGCAGCCGTGCTGCCCACCAGTGACAAGCACATCAATCCCCAGTCCCCGCCTCGTTTGAAGGTGCAGTGCCTGCGTCCGCATCAATGGGCGCGTGTGCCCAACACCTCACTACAGGTGCATGCGTTGAAGCTGTCCGATATTCGGGGCTGGTCAATGCTCTGCGAGGATCCTGTATCAATGCTGGCCCTGCACATACCCGAAGAGGATCGCTGCATCGATATATTGGAGCTGATTGAGATGGATAAACTGCTGTCCTTCCATGCTCACACTCTCACGCTCTACGCTGCGCTGTGCTATCAATCGAATTATCGTGCCGCGCACGCGCTCTGCCAGCATGTCGATCAGAAGCAACTGCTCTATGCCATACGGTCGGAGTATATGAGTGGACCACTGCGTCAGGGATTCTATGATCTGCTGATAGCGCTGCATCTGGAATCGCATGCCACCACAATGGAGGTATGCAAAAATGAATATATTACACCGTTGGGCCCCGAACTGAAGGAACTTTACGCTGAGGATGAGATGCGTCACTCACTTCGTTCCCTTGTCACGGAGTCTGTGCGTCCGCAGTTGCGTATGACGGAAATCACGTAAGTACTAAGTGATCTAAGCTAAGTTCCTTGGGTAACCACACTGTCGTAGTCTATCACATTTACATACTTGTCCATACTTTCGACGACGAGCCTTTAGTATGAAGGGTTCGATCGTTCGATGGTTTGTTTTAGTCATGATGCACCTGTGATTTCCTCATAACTCATTTTATTTCCAATACTTTCAATCCAACAAAAACAAAACAAAATATATAAAAACAAAAACACCTGCACTGAACCAACACTCTATGCACCACCAATCGAACCGATACCGATTACCGATTACCGATCACAACAACAACAACAACAACCGTTCCACCCGTTCAGTCCCCCTGTGATTGCAACATCTAGTATGCCAAGTGTTTCCAGCGAACCGATACCCAACATCGATCAGTTGTATTCCCCGAAGTTCCCATTAGAAGTAGTCAGAGAATTTGTAATGGAGGCACTCAAAGATGCTGTGGAAATAAATCAAGTGCATAACCGTGATCCCATTGGTTGGACCAACGAAAATCTATTCTTGTAAGTATACTGCATCCATATACACATACATTTCCATATTTAATAAATCTCCCTATTAACTCTTATAGGCCACTCATCAAGCTAACGGATCGCCTACTGTTAGTTGGCGTCCTTACTGATGAGGACGTACAAAAACTATTAGTAATGGTGGATCCAGAAACTTGGGACCCCACTTTCGAAAGAGGTGGGAGAGAAGCAAATAAATTATTCTATATTTATAATATTCCATATATGTTACATAACTAATTGGTTTCATTCGCTGTTTGCAGAGGGAAAAGATGAGCACCGCAAAGGTTTGCTCACCATGAAAATGGCTGAAGGAGCTAAGCTACAAATGTGCTACCTATTGCATCATCTATACGACACACAGCTCCGGCATCGGGTGGAGAGCATTATAGCATTCTCTCACGATTTTGTGGGCGATCTGCAAACCGATCAGTTGCGCCGTTATATTGAGATTAAACAATCCGATTTGCCAAGTGCTGTTGCGGCCAAAAAGACTAAGGAATTCCGTTGTCCACCCAGAGAACAAATGAATCAGATTCTTTGCTTCAAGAATCTCGAAGCTGACGATCAGGACAATTGCACCTGTGGTCTTGAGTTGCGCAGTCGCTTAAGCGAATTCCACGACTCTCTAATGCAAAAGGTATCGCTGAATGCGCTGCAGGAGCCGGATGGTACTGAGACAAATGCAATCGAAGAGATCAAAACGGGACCCATAACCAAGATCTACAATTTCATCAATACCGTCAAGGAGCTAGAGGAGGGACCCAAAGAAGTGGAGGAGCCTGAGAAAAAGACACCCGAAGAGGTTTTCCGCAAAGTTCTAATCAAAACCATCGTCAGCTGGGCTGAGGAATCACAAATCGAGAATCCAAAATTAGTTCGCGAAATGTTCAGCTTACTGGTACGGCAATACGATACGGTCGGTGAGCTGGTACGTGCTCTGGAGAAGACCTATGTGATCAACAATCGCGCACGAGATGATGTGGCTGAGATGTGGGTTGGCTTAAGCCAGATTCGTGCATTGCTGCCCGTACAAATGAGCCAAGAAGAAGAGGAGCTGATGCGTAAGCGCTTATGGAAACTGGTAAACAATGCCACATTCTTCCAGCATCCGGATTTGATACGCATCTTACGTGTGCACGAAAACGTAATGGCCGTCATGATGAATACTCTAGGCCGTCGTGCGCAGGCACAAAGCGATGCTCCCGCCCAGACCGAGGGAGCGGAGGGCGTGCCCTCAAAGGAGAAAGACACCTCGCACGAAATGGTTGTGGCTTGTTGTCGCTTCCTGTGCTACTTTTGCCGTACCGGACGTCAGAATCAGAAGGCCATGTTCGATCACTTTGACTTTTTGCTGGACAATGCGAACATATTGTTAGCCAGGCCCAGTCTGCGTGGTTCCACCCCATTGGATGTGGCATATTCGAGTTTAATGGAGAACACAGAATTAGCTCTGGCACTTAGGGAACACTATTTGGAGAAGATTGCAGTTTACCTGTCCAGATGTGGATTGCAGAGCAATTCTGAGCTGGTCGAGAAGGGCTATCCCGATTTGGGCTGGGACCCGGTCGAGGGTGAACGATATCTGGACTTTTTGCGCTATTGCGTTTGGGTCAATGGCGAGAGTGTCGAGGAGAACGCCAACCTTGTCATTCGTCTTCTTATCCGTCGTCCAGAATGTTTGGGACCGGCTCTAAGAGGAGAAGGAGAAGGTCTCTTCCGTGCAATCGTCGAGGCCAATCGTATGTCGGAGCGCATATCGGATCGTTGCAAAATGCAAGACGAGGCCGAAGGCACCATAGCTGGACTTAATTTTACCCATCCCCTACCAGAAGGCGACGAAGATGAGGACTATATCGATACAGGTGCCGCCATATTGAATTTCTATTGTACACTTGTTGACCTGCTGGGCAGATGCGCCCCCGACGTGTCTGTCATCGAGCAAGGCAAGAATGAATCACTGAGAGCTAGAGCTATTTTGAGATCTCTTGTGCCACTGGAAGACCTTCAAGGTGTGCTTAGCCTAAAGTTTACGCTCACCCAAACTGCTCCCGGTGAGGAGAAACCAAAATCGGATATGCCGTCTGGCCTCTTACCCAATAACAAGCAGAGTATTGTCCTATTTTTGGAACGTGTTTACGGCATAGAGACACAAGATCTATTCTATCGGCTGCTCGAAGACGCTTTTCTCCCAGATCTGCGTACAGCCACAATTTTGGATAAGAGTGACGGCTCAGAGAGCGATATGGCATTGGCCATGAATCGCTATATTGGCAACTCCATTTTGCCACTGCTTATCAAGCACTCAAAGTTCTATAACGAGGCTGAGAACTATGCAAGTCTCTTGGATGCCACGCTGCACACGGTCTATAGGTTATCCAAGAACCGTATGCTAACCAAGGGACAGCGAGAGGCAGTATCCGATTTTCTAGTAGCGTTGACGTCACAAATGCAACCTGCCATGCTCTTAAAGCTATTGCGCAAGTTGACTGTTGATGTATCCAAGCTATCCGAATATACGACCGTCGCACTCAGGGTAAGTTCCATACTCTTGACCCACTTCAAAAGAATCATTAACTAATCAGATCTCTCGTATTTATAGCTGCTCACACTGCACTTCGATCGCTGCGCTAAGTACTATGGCTCGACTCAAGGCCAAGGCTCGTATGGAGCTTCGTCAGATGAGGAGAAGCGTCTAACGATGCTTCTCTTCTCAAATATTTTTGACTCGCTGAGCAACATGGACTATGACCCGGAACTGTTCGGTAAAGCATTGCCCTGCCTAATTGCCATCGGCTGTGCCCTGCCACCAGACTACAGCTTATCGAAGAATACCGATGAGGACTATTATGGCAGACAAATGGGCGCACCAGATCAACCGCAATATGTGCCAAATCCAATTGATACGAACAATGTACATTTGGACAATGATTTGAATTCGTTGGTTCAAAAGTTCAGCGAGCATTATCACGATGCTTGGGCCAGTCGCCGTTTGGAGGGAGGCTGGACATATGGCGAAATTCGATCCGATATCGAACGCAAGCACCCACGCCTAAAGCCCTACAATATGCTCAGCGAATATGTACGTAGTATACATATATCAATATCAATCAGCTCGACTTCTAACGTTCTAATGGGCATACTACTCATTGCCAAACGACATCTCATATCTATGCATATTAATATTTCTCTATTTATATCTAATATTTATTTACACATCCTCACAGGAGCGTGAACGCTACCGAGATCCGGTGCGTGAATGCCTCAAAGGTCTCTTGGCCATTGGCTGGACCGTTGAGCACTCTGAAATCGATTTGCCACTCAATCATCGTGGCTCTACGCGTCGTCAATCGAAGCCCCAAATTGTATGTATTATAACAGTAATAGACTAACCAAATATATTGTTCCCAAAAATTGATTTCATTAACGCCTTTCCAAAAATTTCTTACGCTACCAATTACGGAATATCCCTATCAAACAATTGGCCACCTCCACACCTCCACATTCACTTGAAAACCCTTTGGTGCTTACACAAATAGCATGATTTTCAGAATGAGGGCAACCCCTTCAACTATAATCCACATCCTGTGGACATGAGCAACCTGACGCTCAGCAGAGAAATGCAAAATATGGCCGAACGTCTGGCCGAAAACTCTCATGATATTTGGGCGAAGAAGAAGAACGAAGAGTTAAATGGATGCGGCGGAGTTATACATCCACAATTGGTGCCCTATGACCTGCTCACCGACAAGGAGAAGAAGAAGGATCGTGAGCGCTCTCAGGAGTTCCTCAAATACATGCAGTATCAGGGATACAAATTGCACAAGTAAGGATAAGATAACTCTAGGATATATATTTATGAAACTCCAATTAAAACCCTGATTCTTTGTAGGCCCTCGAAGGGTGGCGCTGTTGAGGAAGGCGGTGCCACACAAGCTGCCGTTGAGTTGCGCTTCTCCTATTCACTGCTAGAGAAGCTCATCCAATATCTGGACCGTGCCACCATCAACATGAAGCTACTGAAGCCATCGACCACGTTCAGCCGACGCAGCTCCTTCAAGACGGCATCGCGGGACATCAAGTTCTTCTCGAAGGTCGTGTTGCCTCTGATGGAGAAATATTTCTCGACGCATCGCAATTATTTTATCGCTATTGCCACGGCAACGAATAACATAGGCGCCGCATCGCTAAAGGAGAAGGAAATGGTTGCCTCCATATTCTGTAAATTGGCTGCTCTGTTGCGCAATCGCCTGAGCGCCTTTGGACCTGATGTACGCATCACCGTGCGCTGCCTGCAAGTGCTGGTCAAGGGCATCGATGCCAAGACTTTGACCAAGAACTGCCCCGAATTCATACGCACATCGATGCTGACGTTCTTCAATCAAACTTCTGATGATCTGGGCAACACGATCATGAATCTACAGGATGGCAAGTACAGCCATTTGCGTGGCACACATCTAAAGACCTCCACGTCGCTGGGTTATGTAAATCAGGTGGTGCTACCGGTGCTGACTGCGATGTTTGATCACCTGGCTGCCTGTGATTACGGCAGTGATCTGCTGCTTGACGAAATTCAAGTGGCCTCTTATAAGATTTTAGCTGCCCTATATCACTTGGGCACCGATGCGACACTGACACACGATCGCAAATATTTGAAAACGGAAATCGAGAGGCATCGACCTGCCTTGGGCTCCTGCTTGGGCGCCTACAGCTCGTGCTTCCCAGTTGCCTATTTGGAGCCGCATCTCAATAAGCACAATCAGTACTCTTTGCTCAATCGCATTGCAGACCATTCGCTGGAGGCCCAGGACATTATGGTCAAAATGGAAAGCTGTATGCCCAATTTGGAAGCAATCCTCAATGAAGTGGATCAGTTTGTTGAGTCGGATAAGACTTATGCCGATGCACCGCACATCATCGATGTTATATTGCCGTTGCTCTGCGCCTATTTGCCTTTCTGGTGGTCTCAGGGTCCGGATAACGTGAGTCCGACCAGTGGCAATCATGTGACCATGGTCACCGCGGATCACATGAACTCGCTGCTGCGCAATGTGCTCAAGATGATCAAGAAGAACATTGGCAATGATAACGCGCCCTGGATGACACGCATTGCGGCCTACACCCAGCAGATAATCATCAATACATCAGAGGAGCTACTCAAGGATCCATTCCTGCCACTGGCGGAGCGAGTCAAGAAGCGTACCGAGAACATGCTGCACAAGGAGGACAGCATGCGAGGATTTATAAAATCGGCCACAGATGATACTTCGCAAGTGGAGACGCAACTACAAGAGGATTGGAATTTGCTTGTGCGAGACATATACTCATTTTATCCGCTACTCATCAAATACGTGGATCTGCAGCGCAATCATTGGCTAAAGGATAACATCCCTGAGGCCGAAGAGCTGTACAATCATGTTGCCGAGATCTTCAATATCTGGTCAAAGAGTCAATACTTCTTGAAGGAGGAGCAAAACTTTATATCGGCCAATGAAATTGATAATATGGCTCTGATAATGCCAACGGCGACGCGACGATCGGCCATATCCGAGGGCGTGCCGGCAGTGGGTGGCAAGGTCAAGAAGAAGAAGAAGAACAGAGACAAGAAACGTGACAAGGACAAGGAGGTGCAAGCCAGTTTAATGGTTGCCTGTCTGAAGCGTCTACTGCCCGTAGGCCTCAATCTATTCGCTGGTCGCGAACAGGAGCTGGTGCAGCATTGCAAGGATAGATACTTGAAGAAGATGAACGAATACGATGTCATAGAATTCGCACGCAATCAGTTGACATTGCCCGACAAACTGGACCCATCCGATGAGATGTCGTGGCAGCATTACCTCTACTCGAAACTGGGCAAGACTGAGGAGCCAGTCGATGAGCAGGCCTTGGAGAAGGTGAATGCCAATTCGAATGAGAAGGGTAAAGACAAGACGACAGAGACGGTTGATCGAATTGTGGCCATGGCTAAAGTTCTATTTGGCCTGCATATGGTAAGTAGACGGGGAGAGGGGGTTCACATTCTATACCCACATATGGTATTGCAAATACATATACTCTGATACAAGTCTCTTTCCTTTCTCTTGTATTTTATATACACATATATGTGTTTATTTCTCAATACCAACTGATATTACTTACTTATATATCTATATATACTTTTATACTTATAATATACTTTCTCAATTTTGCACTTTTTATTAACTTTTCTTTTCGATACGATTTGTCCCAAATAAATCTATAACGTACATTTCAACGACATATAATTTCCAACTGCTGACCAAACCGTGAACGAAACAATTACAGATCGACCATCCACAACAGCAGAGCAAAAATGTCTACAGGAGCGTTGTGTCAATACAAAGGAAGCGTGCCGTTATCGCATGTTTCCGTCAGACATCGCTACATTCTCTACCCAGGTTATTACCGATATATTCACTGCATTACTAATACACATGCGTGCGCACGTTTAAACAACCGCTCAAGCTGATGGGCTCAAGTGTGTGTGTGTATGTATGTAAAGTAACGGTACTTTATATGAAGATCAACATTTAGTTATTTAGAAAACGGGCTCTATTTACTTACATGCATATAAAGCTTTAGCTAAAACATGGAACCAAGCGTTAGGCCTTTACACAGATTTGAATTAATATGATTTTTTAATTTACATCACATTTCGCACTTTGTTTTTCTTTTTTTGTATTTCGTTCACCCACTGATTTCAACTAACGAAAAATGTACTAAAACGCAATACCACTTAGTGTGACCGTAGTGCTGTAACTCATCCTTGTCTTTTAATATGTATGTATGTATTTTTATGCTCTTGCTTGCTATTGTACCGCTCCATATAGGCATCCGGCGCCAAGAACAAAACAAAACGTTGGAGTTCCAAAATTTCGGTCGCTCGACGCCAGGCAGTTATATCAAGCTTACGCGCCAAGCATCTATATCGTATGAGCAGGTGGTAGCCGCAAAATACTAATATCTTATACGAATACACATACATATCTTATACACCTATACATATGAATATAAGTATGCAATTGATTGCAATTATTTCTGTTTATTTAGTATTTAAGCCCTTGCAGACTGCTGTATTTAATATGTACTATGTCCATGGTCACTCTGTCCACTGTCCACACATTAAAATTGAATATTTTTCCAACAGATCTGCAAGGGCTTTATTGAAAGTTCGGCGTACCGATAAGCTTTTATTTCGTAGTGTTTCTTTAGCAGTTTAACTCGAATACTAAAAGCATGCCACTTGTGTTAACGTTCTTCAGATTCCAATTGGAATTAATAACGATCTCTTGTTGCCCGCAGACATCGTGCTTGCAATATCTTTGCTCGCACCTACTACGAGCAATGGCTGCAGGAGGAGAACGTCGGCCAGGAGGTGATGATCGAGGATCTGACGCAAACATTTGAAGAGTCGGAGAAATCGAAGAAGGATGAAGAGGAAACGGACGGCAAGCCAGATCCGTTGACTCAGCTGGTGACCACCTTCTGTCGTGGTGCTATGACAGAACGCAGTGGCGCACTTCAGGAGGATTTACTGTACATGTCCTATGCACAAATCGCAGCCAAGTCTTGCGGCGAAGAGGAAGAGGAAGGCGGCGACGAAGGCGAAGGGGGTGAAGGCGGCGAAGAGGGCGAAGGCACAAGTATTCATGTAAGCTAAGCGAAAGTACTGAAAATAAATACTAAATTATGTACTAACTAATCCCAATCCCAATTGTGCTTGCAAACTAATCTTATTTGAATGCAAAGTGCCGCATGTCAAAACTAATGGTAAATATTGTAACATTCTAATTAGAAAGTTGAACTGAGAGTTGATTTAAATATAATTATATAATTAAGCTCTATCCGTTCCACTAACAGCTACGTCTTCCTTACATACCCAATATATAATCCGATTTCCAATCTTCTAAACAGGAACAAGAAATGGAGAAACAGAAGCTACTGTTCCATCAAGCGCGTCTGTCGAATCGTGGCGTTGCCGAAATGGTGCTGTTGCACATATCCGCCTCCAAAGGTATACCTTCGGAGATGGTCATGACGACACTCAATTTGGGCATCGCCATACTGCGTGGCGGTAACATCGACATTCAAATGGGTATGTTGAATCACTTGAAGGAGAAGAAGGATGTGGGCTTCTTCACCTCCATAGCCGGGCTGATGAACTCGTGCAGTGTGCTCGATCTGGATGCATTCGAGCGCAACACAAAGGCCGAGGGTAAGTGCTCCTTAGTGATTTTCCTTGCTGTGTGAACCAGATGCAATCCTGCTTGACGTTTGCTGAGCCCTTAACTTATAATTGAATATGATTATTACTATTATTATTAGTCTTATTATTATTATTGTGATTCTGGCATCATCACGTCTCATGCTGCGCCTTATTCTAAGTTAAATTATTGATTTCGTCTCTCCTTCCAACTACTTTCCCCCCAAATCATCCAACATATACACACGCATGCCGTTTATATCCCGTATCCCGTATATATGTATATGTACCTGATCCCCGCTATCGTTGTAAAAACCAAACCACAAAAACAAAGAGTATATTCCAAGTGCGGGTGCAGGTCTTGGTGTCGGCTCGGAAGGCGCTGCGGGTGAGAAGAATATGCACGATGCGGAGTTCACGTGTGCTCTATTCCGATTCATTCAGCTAACCTGCGAGGGTCACAACTTGGGTAAGTCGCTCAGCAACGATCTGGGAATCAATCTATATATACATTTTCTTTATCCTTTCTAGAATGGCAAAACTATTTACGTACCCAGGCGGGCAATACGACTACGGTGAATGTGGTCATCTGTACGGTGGATTATTTGCTGCGTCTGCAGGAATCGATTATGGACTTCTATTGGCACTATTCTAGCAAGGAGATCATTGACCCAGCTGGCAAGGCGAACTTCTTTAAAGCCATCGGCGTGGCTAGCCAAGTGTTCAATACCCTCACTGAGGTCATCCAGGGTCCGTGTACCTTGAATCAGCAAGCCTTGGCCCATTCCAGATTGTGGGATGCGGTCGGCGGTTTTCTATTTCTATTTTCGCATATGCAGGACAAACTCTCGAAGCATTCGAGTCAGGTGGATCTGCTAAAGGAGCTGCTCAATCTACAAAAGGATATGATCACCATGATGTTATCCATGCTGGAAGGCAATGTTGTGAATGGTAAGTCTAATATATACTATTTCCATACCAATATCATAAATATCTTCCCAAACATTCTCAGGCACAATTGGCAAGCAGATGGTGGATACCCTTGTTGAGTCGGCTAGCAATGTTGAGCTGATTCTCAAGTATTTCGATATGTTCCTGAAATTGGCCGACTTGATTGAGTCGCCCAGTTTCCATGAGATTGATATGAAGAACGAGGGCTGGGTAATACCCAAGGATTTCAGAGACAAAATGGAGCAGTCCAAGAACTACACACCGTAAGAGTAACGAATCCCTGGGAGATCAGACAACTATTTAACATTCGTCCTTTACCTTTTTTCCAGGGAGGAAATGGATTTCCTTTTGGCTTGCTGTGAACGCAATCACGAAGGCAAAATAGATTATAGAGCCTTTGTCGAACGTTTCCACGAGCCATCAAAGGAGATCGGTTTCAACCTGGCTGTGCTGCTGACCAATCTCAGTGAACACATGCCCAATGAGCCGCGCCTGGCGCGCTTCCTAGAGACCGCTGGCTCTGTGCTGAACTATTTCGAGCCGTTCCTGGGTCGCATCGAAATCTTGGGCAGCTCGAAGCGTATTGAGCGTGTTTACTTCGAGATCAAGGACTCGAACATCGAGCAATGGGAGAAGCCACAGATTCGCGAATCGAAACGCGCCTTCTTCTACTCGATTGTCACGGAGGGCGGCGACAAGGAAAAGCTGGAAGCATTTGTTAACTTCTGTGAGGATGCGATCTTTGAGATGACCCACGCCTCTGGCCTGATGGCCACGGACGATGGCGGCGGCAATGTGAAACGGGATACGGCCTACAGTTCCTACATGAGCGAAGAGGAGGAAGAGCGCGCCGCTCGCGATCCGATTAGACGCACAATAACTGCTGTAAAGGATGGCCTGAAGTTCGGAGTTCACATGTTGAGTCCCTCAAACATCAAGCACCAAATTGGAGTTATGCAAACAAAATCGATACCTGAACTGATTGTTGGATTCTTTAAGATAATCTTCTATATGTTCTACTACACGGGTTACGCCCACTACTGTGTGGTGCGCTATATCTTTGGCATACTGTTGAATCTGATGCGTGGTCCCGCACCCGAGCAGGAGGATGAAGTGGCTGTAGTTGAAGAGGAGACATTTGGACGTGCGCTGCCGCCGTTGCCGCTGGAGGAGCCACCGGGCCCGGTACAAGCATTCGGCTTGGACATAAACAAAGAGGAAAACGGCGTGTACAAGGTGGTGGTCCACGAGTCGCCAGCCAGCTCATCTGTGGAGGAGGGCGGTGAGTCTAGCCCAGAAGATGGCGCAGCTCCAACCGGAGAACTAGTCGAAGGCGAACTGCATCAGGAACCCATTTCAATTGTCGATATGCTCGGCGGTGAGGCGGCTAAGAAGGCAGCTCAGGAGCGTCAGGAGGCACAGAAGGCCCAAGAGGCAGCCATGGCATCCATTGAAGCCGAGGCCAAGAAGTCATCGGCAGCACCACAAGAGACACCAGCGGTGCACCAGATCGACTTCTCGCAGTACACGCACCGCGCTGTCAGCTTCTTGGCTCGCAACTTCTACAATTTGAAATATGTGGCGCTCGTCTTGGCTTTCAGCATTAACTTTATGTTGCTCTTCTACAAGGTGACCTCATTCAACGAGGAATCAGAAGGCTCGGCCGAAGAGGAGCTTATTCTGGGCTCTGGTTCGGGCGCTGGTGCTGATATGGCTGGCTCTGGTCTGGGTGGCTCGGGCGATGGGTCGGGCGATGGCGATTTCGAAGACGATGACATACCGGAACTGGTGCACGTGGATGAGGACTTCTTCTATATGGAGCATGTGCTGCGCATTGCCGCACTGCTCCACTCCCTGGTATCGCTGGCCATGCTCATCGCTTACTATCATCTAAAGGTGCCGCTGGCCATATTCAAGCGAGAGAAGGAAATTGCACGTCGTCTGGAATTCGATGGTCTCTTCATAGCCGAGCAGCCGGAGGATGATGACTTCAAGTCCCACTGGGATAAGCTGGTCATATCGGCCAAGAGTTTCCCTGTCAACTACTGGGATAAATTTGTCAAGAAGAAGGTCAGACAAAAGTACAGTGAGACCTACGACTTTGACTCAATCTCGAATCTGCTGGGCATGGAGAAGAGCGCCTTTACGGCACAGGAGAGCGAGGAGACGGGCATTCTGCGCTACATCATGAACATCGATTGGCGCTATCAGGTGTGGAAGGCTGGAGTCACCTTTACGGACAACTCCTTCCTCTACTCCCTGTGGTACTTCAGCTTCTCGGTGATGGGCAACTTTAACAACTTCTTCTTTGCCGCCCATTTGCTGGATGTGGCCGTTGGCTTTAAGACACTGCGCACGATTCTGCAGTCCGTAACCCACAATGGCAAACAGCTCGTCCTGACCGTGATGCTCCTGACGATTATCGTTTATATATACACGGTGATTGCGTTCAACTTCTTCCGCAAGTTCTACATACAGGAGGAGGATGAGGAGGTGGACAAGAAGTGCCATGACATGTTGACCTGTTTCGTCTTCCATTTGTACAAGGGCGTTAGAGCAGGCGGTGGCATTGGCGACGAAATTGGGGATCCGGATGGAGATGATTATGAAGTCTATCGCATCATCTTCGACATCACATTCTTCTTCTTCGTCATTGTCATCCTGTTGGCCATCATCCAGGGTTTGATTATCGACGCCTTCGGCGAGCTGCGTGATCAATTGGAATCGGTCAAGGATAATATGGAATCGAATTGCTTTATTTGTGGCATGGGTAAGGACTTCTTTGATATAGTCCCGCATGGCTTCGATACGCACGTGCAGAAGGAGCACAATCTGGCCAACTATATGTTCTTCCTGATGCATTTGATCAATAAACCGGATACCGAGTACACCGGCCAGGAGACGTACGTGTGGAATATGTATCAACAGCGCAGCTGGGACTTCTTCCCAGTGGGCGACTGCTTCCGCAAGCAGTACGAGGACGAACTCTCTGGCGGCGGCGGTGGCGGAGGCTGAGCTCCTGGGCTCCACTTAGTCGCGTTTTTACTACAATTTCTATGATGATCGTTAATATCTCTATTATAATATTGATATATGTTTGAATTCTCTCAATAATAAATCATATTCTAATTAATTTAAGTATATATTTTACATACAATACGGATGCTCGACCAAATAAATCGATTCATTTTTACCGAAGTTGAAAGCAACGTCAATTCATTGTTATATATTTATTTATTTTTTTATTAAATACACATTGATAACATCAATAAATATAAAATATGTTAACTTATTTATAATAACAAATCACATAATTTAATGTTTTTCTTTAAATTTCATAAAATTTTGTTTAAAAATCACAGCTACTTAATCCATGTTTAACACCTAAATTTGGCTTAGATAATAATTAGTTACATTCTAATTGCTTGGTGGACATTTAACGAGCATATTGTTCATATCTGTGTGCGATATATATATATAGTTAATATATATACTTTACAAGTGCCATTTCTATATTCTAATTCATATTCAATTCGATTTGCCTTTTAGGCTAAATTTTGACTAGCGAAAATTGTATAATTGAAAATAATATAGAATAAATACAACGAAAATTGCAATAAAATATCAGCAATCGAGTCGCTTCTTCAAGCGAAAGAATTCGGCATTATCGATGCTATTCATATTGTCCATATGCAGATTGCGAAGTGTGCGCACGTCCGCCAAGCGATCCTCGATATCCGTATACATGCGACGGCAACGATAGATGGACAATGTCTCCAGGCATTCACAGTTCACAATTATAGAGTCGATCGTGTGATCCGTCAACTGGCTACAGCCGCTAATGTCCAGCGAGCGTAGCCGTTGCAGTCTCTCCGTAATTATCTTAATGCCTTGATCGCTGATGTTATAACAGTCGGATAGATCGAGTACCTCAATGGCTGGGCAGTTGTTGACTAAGGCTTCCATGCCCAGCAGTGAGATCTGCTGGCAATTTGAGAGCAACAGTTTGCTGAGCTCAATGTGCTTGAGGCCATATTTCAAAGATACATCGCTGATTTTATTGCATCCCCGCAGATTGAGCGATCGCAATCCGCGCAGCTCTTGTATGTTGTGGCCCTCGAAGTCCTCCTCGTTGATCAGATTCATCTCGTAGGCCGCAAACATTGCCTGCTTTCGTTTCGCATCCCGCACAATCTCCTCCTCCGCCTTGCTGCGCAACGATATCTTGATCGACTGCAACGAGCCGCTGAATCCATCGGACGGTGGGTAGCTGTTTCCTATAACAGAGCTGCGATTCAGTTCTAGCTTAGCTATATTGATGCCAGTCAAAGCGGCATCTGTTAACTAAAAGAAAATAATAATCAGTCAATAAATTATGTCTAGGAACTCCCTATATATTCTCCACTCACCCGACAACAGCTTTCGAGCGAGAGCTCTCTCAACCAGCACAGCTGTTGGATTATGAGCTGCATTACCTCATCTGTGACAGCATTGACGCAATGATTGAGATGCAGCGTGCGTAGAGCGTGCAGATTCCTGGCTATTGACTTGATGGACTCCTCACAGATGGTCAGATAAGAGACGTTCAGCTCCTCGAGGACATTATTCTCTGCACTAGCGATGCCCTCTATTATCCCACTGCTATTGATGCCATCGCAATTGGATATATCGAGCAGGCGCAATCGAGACAAATTGCGTAAGCTTGCAGCGCCTGTATTCGAGATGCCGGCACATGCATTGATCTTTAGTTCCTGCAGCAGGGGATTTGCCTGAACGATTACCGCCACGCAATCATCATTCAGGCACATCGTCGACGACAGATCCAGAACTCTCAGTTGAGCTTGAGTGTAGAGAAAGCTGCGTATGGTCGAGGCATTCAGTTGCCTGCAGCCCGCCAAATAGAGGCGTCGCAGCTGCAACCCGGGCTGAGCGTGTTCGTCGGCCTTGCTCAGCTCAATAAGAGCCATTAGCGAGTGGCCGATGAGCGTGTGACTGAAGTCGAGAGTGTGCAGTACTCTCCGCTGCTGGCTGATCACATTTTGTATGTATTTGAATGTCAGCACCGATTCACTGGGCGTGCTGGGCTCGTTTGGATAGAAGCGTCGATGGATGGCGTTGTGAAAGGAGATCTGACAGCCGGACATATTCAGCAATTCCAAATTGGGCATTAGGGCTGTTAATCTCAGTAGTATAGCATCGGTTAGATATTGATTTTTGCATATTGTCAATTCTCTGATACCAGCCAAATGTGCTGATATCTCATTCAAGTCACACGAATTGCTATCCAAAAACGTGGCGGACATGAACAAAGGCAAACACCGTGTCACCGAAAGAATTTGCAGATGGGGCAACAGGCTCAAGATGCCATAGAATTGTTTGTCATTCAGGTCGACATTATCCAGACTCAAGGAGTGCGCCGACTCGCCAATGAATGTCATCAGCTCCTGCACCTGACCCAGCGTCACATCCTCGAACAGAAAGTGACGAAATCGTCGTTCACATCGCATCAAATCTAACGCAGGACTATGTTGATCCGATAAAACAATCTTCGAGAAGCGTACGCGAGTGCGTGCGATGAATTCAGTATGATATAGAGCGCTTCTCCAACGTTGACAGGTCGTGCCAGCTGCCAACAAATCCGAATAGCCCAGATATTTATATATATGCAGAACAATCTGTATCAAATATCAAAATCATTTCATTCATCAGCTGACTTTCGGTCACGAGTAACAGAAAACTGCTTTTAAAACAATGGGCATACCTCTAGGGGCAGATCACTATAGCTGTAAAGGCAATAGTCCAAGGACGTCATTCTATAGGTATATATATATTTATATATATAAATATATATATAATTTTTAATTCCGAATTCCAGGCCCCAATAAACCAACTTTTAGTTCGACTAGACCAACACTAAACCAACTAGAACTATTAGGCAATGTGACCGTTTGGTATATTGCAATAAATACCGCACATTGCCATTTGTGGTACTCCTAAAAGAAATTTTTAAATTCTACTACGCCAAACCAGTATTTTTTAAGCACAGCTGTTTTACCTCTTTCGCGATATATTTCCTTTTATTGCTGAGGCCACACTTTGTCTATGACATCAGTTTCAGCTTTGCTGTCCAATTTTGATTCGCAAAACTTTCTGCAAACTTGCGCAAAATAGCAACTAGTCAATAAACTGTCGAAGATAAGTAATCGCAGTGCCCAACATAATGGCCGATCCAAAATTTCAAAACCTGCCCGGCATTGTAAGCTACAAAGTTAATGAATTACTCATAGAAATCAGCTTTTACATACATACATATTTTATATATATATTTTCTCTAGGCTTATGACCAGCCGGATGTTTTTGAGACTCCCGACGATCCGGAGGTCGACACGTCCGACTACTATGAAGAGGAGCCAGAAAACGAGGCCATTGAGCGATTGCACATTTCGCCAAGCATCGCCCACAAACGTTTCAGCAATGCAACGCTTGAGGGAAACGTCGACTTCACGGATCGAATTGGACGTCGCTTGTGCCGAGGCTACGATGTTCGAGGCGGGGAATATGAGCTGGTGGGCCTCGGTGAAAAGGAGACGCCAGTGCAAAAATGTCAACGCTTGCAAATTGAAATGAACGAACTGCTCGATGAAGTGGCCGCCTTGCAAGTAGATAGAAAGATTGCCGACGAAGAAAAGAAATCCTATGATGCAGTCGCTACTGTGATAAGCACAGCCAAGAGAGTATTGGATACGTTGAAGCTTGAGCAAGTGCTGGGCAAAGAGCAAATGCCCAATGATAAGCAAGTGAAAGCACTTGTCGCACAAGTCGAAGAATTTAAACAATCGGGTGTGCTAACGGCTCTGCCCACACCTGGCACGGATTTGGCAGCGACAGCACGCATAGCGAATCTCGAACAGCGTCTGCATCAGCTGGAAAAGGCTGTAGGTGCACAGCCCGAGAAACTCAGTCGCCTCACAACCGTCACTAACACATCAAATGTGCTCGAGGCGGTCCGGCATTTGAGCACCAAGGCTGCTCTCCTCCAGCCGGACAAACTGGATGCCATTGAGCAACGTCTGACTACATTAACTGGCAAAATGGATGCAATCGCCGAAAAGTCCAGCGGCAGCACACAGGACGCCAAGCGTGATCAGAAGGTTGCAGAGCTCTACGACCTGGCTAAACGTACCGAGCCAGTTGTTGAGATGTTGCCACATGTTATTGAAAGAATGCAAGCACTCGAAGCTTTGCATAAATATGGTAAGAAATATATGTGAATTAAATATATAAGTGCCGATTTCATAATTTATAATTACCCCTTTGCAGCTAACAACTTTGCTAAGATCATAGCGGAAATTGAGCAAAAACAAAGCACTATTACCACCAGTTTGGTCAATAATAAGGAGCTTTTACATTCTGTGCAGGAAACGTTTGCCCAAAATTTGGAAACGATCAATGCTAAAGTCGCTAAAGTTGAGCAAAGAGTTGCCGCTGTAACAAAGGCTAAATAAATAAGCTCAATATAATAAACATGTAGCACACATCTATCATTATAAAAATTATATATGATATATATTTATTTGTATCAATAAAGCAAACGCTTCAAATTTAATTAAAAATAGACAAAAAGATTGTTTACTTAGGACAACGCACACACACACACACGTGCAGATCACCCACTCGCACTCATTAAGAATAACAATCGATTCATCGATATTTATTTGTTTGCATATCGCAAATTCGTTTGTACTTCGGTAACTGTTTTCGATAGCCGCATATCGATTGTGCCACAGCTTATAGTTCTTAAAACGGATTGGAAAAAAACTATTTATATAAAATTATAAATCATTTATACATATTGTTTTTATTTAACAATAAAAAACAAAGAAAAAGAGCTGCGTAAGTTGACAAATATTATCAGTATCAATTTACACAATGTCGCATGCTGCTGCAGTTGGCCACGCCAATGTTTTTTGAAGAAGAAAAAAGTGATGACGAGGCGCGCTCAAATTGGACGTCCCATTACAATTCGCTTTAAATTTCATTAAGTTAATGTAAACGAATTTGTACTTGCAGAGCGCAACAACAATGAAAATCAAAGAGCTGCAAAAGACGGTAAACATTGCCTGGTCGCCAGCGCAGCAGCAACAAATCTTGTTAGCTGCCGGCACAGCGGCTCAGCAATTCGATTCAAATGCAAATGCCACATTAGAGA